ATAGTGCTAGATGTAGATGTTTCCCTATTCTAGAAATTTTTAAATAGTACTATATGTGTGATCATCCAGCTCTTAAATTTATAAATAGCAAGAAATTTACCTAATCATGTAACATCATGACAGCATAAATACTAGAAATTAGCAGTTTATAACAGATATTATCAATTTTGATTTGAAAATAAGGTAAGATAAATATTACATGACAAAGTACTTTTTGGATGTGTATACCTGCAAGAACACAGAATCGTTGTGGCAAGCGCTGCTCCGACAAACCACTCCTGCAAGAACACTATTCAGATTGTATGTATTCTGAAGACAGTCTCTGGTTTCACTGTCTACAGCTGTAAGTTAAAATAAAATGGCACAAAATACAACAAGATAAATTTAAAATTTACTTCATATTAAATTTGTTGCCACATAAAAATAGCAAATATGAGTATTTTATTTACAAATACTTTTGATGCAGTTTAATCATAAAAACCCTATGTGCTGGAAAAGGGAAAGGAGTATGAGTTATTCCTTTCTTGTCAATCAAATGATTTCTTTATCTGGAATAAATTAAAATCAAGGAAAAAGAGGTGTTCTATATATTTCTAGAAATGTTGCTGTTAAAAGATTGTCACTTTGGGCCTCCCTAGTGGCTCAAGGGGTGAAGCACCACACTATGAAGCAATTGCAACCTCTACAGCAATAGCTTGGTCCCCAGCTGGCCAGAGAGCAACCCACATGGCGAAGCAGACCTCTCCTGTCTCGCCCACTGCTTCCCTCAGCAGTGTATTTCAGTCAGTCTGTCTGTTCTGTTCCCCACTCTGTCTCTGGTGAGTCCTCTCACCCCCACCCCCGCATCTCTGGCCTGTACTCCAGCTCTTGTATGCATAAATAAATAAATCTTAAAAAAAAAAAAGATTGTCACTTTGATTTCTCTGCTGTAAGTAATAAAATCTACTAACGAAAAAATAAACTTTAAAAAATTAAAAGATTATTACTTTAAAAATTTCTAAAAAATGTAAATGTTGAAAGTGGCTGACTTTCTCATACTGCTGGTAGACATCAGAATCAGCACAACCTTTTTGGAAAGCAATTTAGCAATAACTACCCAATTGAAAAATGACCAGAAAATTCTACTCAGAATTTATTCACAGAAATACATTTAATATTTGAGCAAAAATACATAACAATGTTCACTGCATTATTGATTCTCCTAGAAAAGTCTTGAAAAATTACTTGAGTACTACCTAAAATGGTTAGTTAGATTATAGTATCACACAATACAGCACTAGACAACTGTTAAAAAGATACTGATAAGGAAAAATATCTAAAATATGTTAAGTGAAAAAAGTAGACATCTGGTGCCACGCAACACTATTTTTGTTAAAAAAATCAAAATTATTTGAAAATGACCTGGAAAGATGCATATTAACCCATTAAGAAATACTGCCTAGAAGTGGAAATAATGAGGAGGTTGGTGCTGATGGGTAGACTCATTTCAATTTACTCTATATTTGTGCTACCTAATTTGGTAGCCACTAGGCCTCACGTGACCCATTCAAGTTTTGGTTATTTAAAATTAAAGATTCAGGGCCTCCCCTGGTGGCACAGCAGTTGAGTGCCGGGCTGTGAAGCTGTCCTCAGCCTCTGCAGCGCCGGTTCGATCCCCAGCTGCCCCAGCCGCCGGCGAGGGTCCCACATGGCAAGATAGACTTCTCCTGTCTCGCCCGTTGCTCCCCTCAGCAGTGTATTTTGTCAGTCTGCCTGTTCTGCTCCCCGCTCTGGCACTTGTGAATTCTCTCACCCTCCTGCGCTTCTGACTGTACCCAGTGTTTGTATAAATAAATGAATAAATCTAAAAAAAAAACCCAAAAAACAATAAAATTAAAGATTCAGTTCTTCAATCTACTACCCACACCTAATACTCAATACCCCTATGTGACTAATGATTGCTATGCTGAACAACACAAACAGAACATTTTCATCATATTGGACATGCTGTTCTATATTAATATATCTGGATTACTGGGATTGTTTATAAGAATATATTACTTTTATAATTAGGCACAGAAATATCTCCTCTCCACCCCAAACACAAATGAAGTAAAAAAGTAATCATTAAATAAAAAATTTTAGACTAAAAGTAAAAAAAAAGAAAAAGCAACATCTGCATTTTCACCCTCAGCAGTTAGTTCAGTGTAGTCTACCAAAGAAGATGATCTTTTAATCACTAACTCTGACTTTTCAGAGCGGTGTATTTAATACTGTATTATGTGTATTTTTAAATTTTTTTTAAAGATTTTTTTATTTATTTATACTAGAACCAGGGTACAGGCGAGATGCGTGGGAGGGTGAGAGGATTCACCAGAGAGAGAGCGGGGAACAGAACAGGCAGACTGGCGAAATACACTGCTGAAGGGAGCAGCGGGAGTGACAGGAGAGGTTTGCTGCGCCATGTGGGACCCTCACCAGCCGGCTGGGATAGAACTGGTGCTGCAGAGGCTGCGGACAGCTTCACAGCATGGTGCTCAACCGCCTGTGCCACTAGGGGAGGCCTATGTGTATTTTTTAAATTCAAAAGTAGGCCAGCATTTCCCAAGGTGCAATCTTTTCTATATCTAGACCACTGAACACTTTTCATATGCTTCATATTTTTATTCCAATAATTTTAACAAAGGATATACACAATATTCCTTTTATAAGACATCCATATAGCAAAATAGTTCAGAGAAATAATGCAATGAAGAGATTTCTTGAATGTGAATTATTCTCCAAAAGATTCTTTAAGGAAATGTGCCCTTTAACAAATACTAAATCATACATCTTCCAAAAAATGAAAAAGGGAAATGAAACACAATACCTAGTTGAGATAGCAAACTGACGATACTTAAGATCAGTGGGGCACTTATGTTTGGGTCTTCAAGTAGCTCTACAAGACAGCTCAAGCATTCACTTGGTAATATCTGATTTGATGTAAACAATCTTGTGAGCTTCTGACCAGAAACTACCTACAAAATAATAATTAAATGTCAGTTAAAAATTGGCAATTTTCATCTTTTTTCCATTTCAAATAAAAAAATCAGTTTCCAAAGTGTCACTGCCATTCTTTCCCAATTTAGAAAATTCATAGATGCTGTTCCTTCTTGATGGACGCTTACTTACCCCTTATCTCACTAGGTAATATAACCATTTGGATGAAAACAGTTTTAATTTGATTCCTCCAGCAAGCTTTCTCTAACTCTCTTTTACCAATTAAGTTGCCTATATTACAGTATCCTATATTATACATTTATTTCAAAAGCAGGCAAACTTTCAATGACATAGCAATATTTAACCTTTTTATACAATGAACACTCCATAAAGGCATCAATTACAAATCAACATTCTACAACCAATATTTTGAATAAATGAATTTCAATACATTTATTTCATCTATTATGAGGGAGGCAAATAGTAAAAAGTAACTAAATCCAGTGGTTTAGTTATGGGATTAACTCTGTGATTATTCCTGCTCCCTCCCAAAGATAATAGCTAAGTCCAGAAATAGGAGATTACAAAGAGGAACATTAAAAAAAGGTTTTTTTAAGTAGCCAGTCCAGACATAAATTATTTTTTGTGTTATTCCTCTTAAAGACCTATAAACCACCTTCCCAATACCCCCCCCCCAACACTCTTGGCTCACAAAAAAGTAAAGCTGGAATTGAAGGTTAGAAGTAATTGTTAGTCTGTTGGTATGTTTTTACCATACAGCTAATATAACAATTAATTATAGAATATATTTTAAAATTATGTTCAATCCTACGGTAACAGATAAGTTACCCCTGAGAAATTTAAAATAAGTTTTGGTAGAGCTTGTTTTTATTAAACTGTGGGCAATTTCAACTGGAATTTCATGAATGCATAACAAATGACAGCAAGTGATTAAGAACCTAATTACAAATAATCAGAGAAAGTGGTGATAAGTACTCCAGAAACAAATCACTGGAAACGAAAATAAAAAGTGAAAACAATTCTCTATTTTAGGGTTGAAAACTGTGAGCAATGCATTTTAGTAAAGAAAAAAAAAAAAGACTATGATTACTAGCAAGGAAGACTGCTTCATAGTTCAAAGAAAGTTAAAATAATACTTTCCAAGTATGAGTTTAAACAAAAGCAGTAAGCAACAGGTTCAGACTGTAAACTGCTAAGAGACAAGGGATAAAATAAGTTTTAATCATCATGCTCCAGCATCTCCAACCCCAAGAACTGACGTAAATTCTGAGGACTCTGTTACTACAGGAAAAAACAAATAAGGAAAAGACACAACTCCGTGTTTCCCCCTCTACCTAACCTTTTGTCCCACCCTCACTCTGAGGTCTAATTCAGAAGTCACTCATTTCTCTAGCTGCAGAGAAGGACTTGGAGCGGAGCTGAGGATGGGTATTCCCGGCTGACATTCACTCGCCTCTACCTAGACAGAAAGACAGCTGAGGGCGGCAGGGCAGTCCTTCCTAAAGCTGGGGCCGCGCCCCCCAGCCGCACCCGAACTAAGGATTACTCCAGGGAAGCCCACCTCGTCCCCACTCCCGGAGCCCCTCACCTCCAAGTGCTGCAAAAGCCGGGCAGCGTTCGCTTCGGATTTAATGGCTTTATACTGACTTATGGTCAGGAGCAAGGTCTTCAAGGAGGCGGTGGAGTCCATCGGGAGCGGCCGCAGCCCCGCCTGGGACTCACCACCACCAACCTGCCAGCTCTGGCCTCTAGTTTTCGCCGCGCTTTTTTTGATTTTCGGCCCCACCCCCTCAATCCCCAAGCTTCCGGTTCCGGTAGAGCCCCGGAAGTCCCTGGGCGCCTGTCGGGGGGACAGCGCTCATTGGAAGGGTTGGGGAGCTTGGGGGGCCCGTGGGGGAGGGGTCCAGGTACTTGTGAGTCGTGAATGAGTTTAAGAGCACCCCTTCCAAACCCCCACTTATCTGAAAAGCCGCGAGGTTTCAGCTCCGCCATCTTGAGAAGCCGAAATCTCGCGAGAAATGAGGCTGTGGCTCCACCTACGGGGGAGCGTTTGGGCCCCTGGGGGTCCTGTGTCGTCAGTGCGCTTTGTTTTCATTTGCTTTCTTGGCCTTCGCGCAGAATGGCTGGTTTTTGCTTTGTGCATCATCCTCTTGCCGAAAAATGGTCGCTTCCCCCTAGTCTAGACACGGTGAGGAACTCTGAGAAGGAGAATGTTGGGCTTTAGGTTTTGAGTCGGCCTGGGAGGGACCTCATTTTAAAATCCTGTGTCCAGCCCGTCTACCAGGAATGTTTCTTAGAGTAACCTATGGCCATTGGAATTCTGTGCAAGGTAGTCCTGCCTTTATGCCTTTGAGTCGTTGTCAGACTTAGTGGAGAAAGCTACATGTGGTGACTTCTGGGCCAGGTATTGCTCCGGAGGGGTTCTCATTAGCATCGATTGTTGTAAGTTAAGGTGTGTTTTTATCTGGCATGATTGGTTGTATTTTAAATCTGGGTGTCTACGAAAATGCCACTATTACTTTGCGTTTTTTGATCAGAGATAATTAATATGCATGTGTACGTAATGAAGTGAATGGGTAGGTTTTTTCTGGCCTAGTGTATGTTAATGTTGAATAAAATTATAAAAACCAGTTTGGAGAAAATTGTAGGAGTTCATATCCATTTAATTATGAACGGTTCGTCAGAAATCTGTTTTGTCAAAGAAAGTATTTACATCCCTACATTTTTAAAGGAAGGGTGTTATGTTCATATTTAAAGCAATTTTAAGAATAAATCTGGAAGTTTAAAATCTAGAGACATACATGAAAAAACTATTGGTAATTAATGTGTTTATGTAATCACTGAAGTTATGAACAGTTAATGCATAACATGGATGGGCTATTGCCAGGCAGGAAACAAAGATAATAAAATATCCCCTACTGGGAAGGAACTGTCCAGTAAGGACAATATTAAATAGTACACAAGGAACCCACCACAAAAATTAGAGATCACTTACAGTGATAGTGAGTTGAGCCAGATTGTCTCCTTACACATTCTAGTTCACCTTTTACTCTGTGACCATAAGCAAATTCTCAGTACATCTGTCTCGTAAGTTTTGGTTTCTTAGTGTAACAACAGTACCAGTTTCATAAGATAAATTGAGCAGGTAATCTTGTTAATAAATAGTTCATTGAGAACTTACACTAGCATTGGTCAAGAAAGTAGAGATTTATCGACTAAAACGAATCCTTTTGTCACGGAACTTACATTTTAAAGGTTAAAAAAATAAAAACAGAACCGTAAATTTATAAAGAAACAGGTGGAGGAAAAACAGCAGATTTATTGCTCTACAACAATGATGGTTAAGCATAAGAGAAACGAGGTCAGGATGTAGAAAGCAACATGTGAAGAAATACTTGAAAAAAAGGAATTGGAAGTTTTGCATGTTTTTTCTGTGCTGTAAAATGAGAATCGCATAGGGAATCATCGATCCTTTGTAGGTTATATACAACTGACCTATAAAATCAAACTTCATCAAAATCACTCATTTGACCTTTTATCTTTATTCCATCCACAGGTATAAATTTTTCTTTTGTTCTTTTTATAGTTTGTTAAAAGTTGAAGGCTTAGTGTTTTTACACACTGTGCTTTTTTTAGTAAAGACTTTTATGCCAAAAAAAGACAGTAACTGAAGTGAGCATCTGCCTTTTAGTTTTTTTAAAGATTACATTTGTGTTAATGAATCAGGTACATGTGATTCTAAAATACTAATATACACCGATTCATCAGGCATTTACTGAATACCAGTTCTTTCCCAAAGATGAGAATTTGGGGAAATTGACAAACTACAGTAAATTCCATTAAGAGAAATTGTGATACAGAAACACATAATTTTTAGGGCAAAATATTAAGTATCCAATTCCTTAATCAGATTGGCACGAAATCCCCCTGCTTTGTATACTTTCATTGCTATCTGTTCTTTATATTTGTGGCAGGTATTTTTCTTATAGTTTGGGAAACACTTTTATTTTATTTTATTTTATAGAGGCATGTTTTTATTTATTTATTTGTTTGTTTGTTTTTTTGCTTATACATGCACTGGGTACAGTCAGAAGCGCGGGAGGGTGAGAGAATTCACCAGAGCCAGAGCCGGGAGCAGAGCAGGCAGAAGGACCGAAGTACACTGCTGAGGGGAGCAGCGGGCGGCAGGAGAGGTCTGCACGCCATGTGGGACCTTCCTCCGGTGGCCGGGGAGCAGCCGGGGATCGAACCTGCGCTGCAGAGGCTGCGGGCAGCTTCGCAACCCAGCGCTCAACCGCTGCGCCACCGGGGAGGCCCGGGAAACACTTTTAAAGGAGTTAAACAAAACTTGATTAGGATTTGTTTTTTTGGATATTATTTTTGACAGAAGTACAGTTTATAGACTACTGAATATGGAATTTATGCTAGAGGTGTGAACACAGGACTAATTTGTTCATTCATCATAATTTTAATGAGTATTTGAGTAGTAGGTAATTACTAGGTTCTGGGGATACAGCAGTGAATCACATAGACAAAATATTTATATTCAAGTAGAGCTTCTATTTTAATGATGGATATAGATGATAAACCAGACATATGAATAAAATATGTGAATGTAAATAATAAGTGCTATGAAAGAAAAAGGGAAGGGGATTAGGGAGTATCAGAGTCATTGCAATTTTAGATAGGGGGAGTATTGTTCAATATTTGCTGCATAAAGAACATGTCAGAACTCTGTGTTTAAAGCCAGGAACATTTACTTCTTGCTCACAGGTCTGTTGATTGACTGCATTTAGTCTCATCTAGGCCTGACTGGGTTGGGTGATTCTGCTTCAACCCATTTTGTGGGAAGAGGAAGATACCTAGAGCTCAGTTTCAATTATGTTGAGATGTTTTCTAGACATCCAGGAGACGATGAGTGAACAGTTGAACATATGCGTAGCTAAGGGGTAAGTCAAGGCTAGAGATAAAATTTCAAAGCTGCAAGACTAAACGATAAAGAGTGAGTATTGATAGAAAAAACTGAAAGAAAACTGAGAAGTATTGCCAGAGGACAGGGTCCCTATCTTGACCTGTGCTTGTCTGCAGAGATCAGTCTTACAGCACATAGGCCTGCTCTTGACTTCAAAAGGAGGATGCTAGTTTGGCAGAGAAGGCATTCTAAATATACGCGCAGACTCCCTTTCATTTCTGCCTTCAGAGGCCTTGACATGTGCTGAAGTTGGGTGCATAAAGTGTACCAGGCAGGTACTGTTCTAGGCACTGGGAATATAGTAGAGGGTTTTTAAAAATAGAAGTTTCCTGACTTTCATTCTAGTGGAAACATGAGGCCAGATCTAAAACTTGGAGATTATTCAGTATGTATAAACAAGTAGGTCAAAAGTTCCATTGGTCTAGTTTCCAAAGGTTCAAGATGAAGAAACCCAGTGGCACAGGGCTATAATCATTTGCATACCATGTCCCCAGATACTAGTGTCAAATCAATTTCACTCTTTATGCAGAACCAGGCATTTAATATCAACTCTCATTTTTCAGAAATGTTATTTCTTCACAAAGCCAGAAAACCGAAATCAGAATTATTTTCACTTTATAATTATTCTTCTTCCTGTTTCTTTGACTATCAGGTATTAAAATTCAACTAATCTCTAAATGACTTGTCAAACCATAAAATTAACTTTCTCATTTTTCAAACAATTCCTGGTTAAAAAAAAATACATTTCACATTATTGAATTCCAGGTTAAAAAACAAGGTTTGGAGAATTTGGGTAAATGCTTTCTTCCATTTCACATCAATTTTATATTCCAGAATCAGAAGTTTGTCTTTTTCTTTTAAATGCTTAAGTACTATCCATTGTTTCTGAGTTCAAATTTATATGTAAAGATAAAAGTGGCAGATTTTTATTTTGTGAAGGTACAGAAATTATTTTAAATTATAATTAATATTATTGAAGGCCTATTTTCTGCAGGGTAAGGTCCTTTGTATATTTCATTTTAAAATTTCTGGTCTTTTAGAAAATTATTATTGTCAAATTGATGAAAAAAATAGTATCTGTTTTCTGAATTAAAATGTGAAGCTGTAAAATAGTGTTGTCCAAAGTGGAGAATGCACTCTTAGAGTTATGTGAAACTGTCTATTGGGATGTCTGGAACAAATATTGGAATTTTTCTTTTTACTTATTTTAATCTTATTCTTTTTTCTTTTATATTATAGTATAATATTCTGCTTCATTATTGTCTCTTCAGGTGTCGTGTCTCAATATTCTATCTTTTCTTTCTTTTTCATTATTGCCTAACAGCTGTAATTACAATTTAATATTTTTAAATTGCTGAAAAGATTCCACTTTTGGAGAATTTGCTTAGAGGTAACATATGGTCTTTCCAATGTTTGCTATTATACTTCTGAACAGCATGATTTGGGCAGTGTTACCTGTAAATAACCTGAAACTCATAGGTACTTCAATATCTGGATCCCCCAATAAAACCTCACTTGTGCATATTCATTGTCGCTAAATTCCAAATATTCAAAACAAATTAATAAAAATGTAGTTTTGCTGTCTATAAGTAACGACTGTATAAGTCTAAAGAGAATTAGAAACCTATGGACAAGATGCTAATTTTGGAAGATTTATAAGGAGCAGTCAATGTGTACATATTACAATGATCTTTTTTCCTGATACACCTGCATGATAATGCTGATAATAATCTTTGCAAAATAACAAAAACTGAGATGGACAGTGAATAACCTGACCTTTGGGGGCAGAAAATATCTTCAGTTTCTGATGACTTTTGCAAGGATTTTCCATTCATTATCCATCAATCCTGAAGTTTGCCTAAGCAAACTATTAGTATGCATTTTTTCTTTAGGGGAAAATGAGATTATGGTCACCTGTGTCAACATATATTCATTTTGTGACCTTCCCAAAAAGGTTAAATACAAAAAAGAAAGAAACTGATGAAAACTAGGTAATCAGTATAATTTGTTGAATCTTAACATAGATAATAATAAGGTGGTACAATGATAAAATGTTGTAAAATATTAGTACAATGTTATTTGTTGAGTCTAACCTGGTGACCCTAACCATTTTCTACCTGGACCTATCTAGTATATCAGAAATGAAGACTTCAGGATGCTAGAATTACAGAACACTTGCTTTTCTCCTTTAATACACCAAGAATAGAGCTTCCCTGTTGGCGCAAGGGGATAAGACGCAACCTATGAAGCTGTCCGCAGACTATGCAGCACGATCCCCCAGCCGGCCAGGGAGCAACCCACATGGTGCAGCAGACCTCTCCTGACTCGCCCACTGCTCTCCTCAGCAGTGTACTTCCACCAGTCTGCCTGTTTTGTTCCCCATTGTCTCTGGTGAATCCTCTCACACACACCCCCACCCCACATCTCTGGCCTCTACCCTAGCTCTTATGTGCATAAATAAATAAATCTAAAAAAAAAATACCACCAAGAATAACTATTGCTGTTTATTAACAAGCCTAAGCTAATCAATAAGATTTAAAATTTTAGTTCTTGGGAGATCCATCACAAATGTCTTGACTTTCCATAAAGATTTATCCAGCCCTTTTGATAAATAGTGCCAAGGCTGAGAAACCTGATTTAGAGGGCACAGGACATTTTTAATAACTCTACTCCTCTTGAAAAAAATACCAAGTGTATTAATTTGTTTTCAAGCTATTAGTATTGAGAAAAGCAAGTGTTATTGTCTCTGTTTTATATAATCATTGTTTCACCTGACATGCGTGACCTGTAAGTGCCAGCGTTCATAAGGATAGATACATGGCACATTCACCCACACATGGAAATGTAAGCTTGAATTTCCTGACCAATTAGAACCCCCAACTTGGTCAAGTATCTTAATTAAGATGCATCTGAGTGTATTCATAGCATTTGAGTAGATTTAAGAAACAATGCCTATTTGTTGTTTGGGGGGGGTGACTAGAATACTACAGGTAAATGTTTAAATAAATGATTAAAAAATTAAAAACAAGACCTCTGCCTCCTTTGACATGAATAAGCACAATTTTAAAAATGGGGAAAACCCTTTACATCAAAAGAAAAGTGTGTCTAAATTTCAGTAAATATGAGAGAAAGTGGAAACTGGGAGCTCAGGGGAGGCAGTAAAAAAGTCAGACTATTTGATGGCAAGACCTTATTTTTCAACCAGAAAACAGCCTGCAAAGAGAAATCATTTTGATTGGTGTATAACATGCTGTAAACTGATGTTGAACTTTTGCTTGGTCTCTGATCTGCCAGAACCTGAATAGGCTCCTATGGAAGAGCAATTCCTCAGATCCAGCACACAGAGTAAATTTTTAGTTTCCTGCTGACAAGGAAAGTCTATTGAAATGAATACACCAGGGAAAACCAGATTTACCCTTCCATGTCAGCCCTGATTTTAAAGGTTTCCTTTAGCCTGTTCTAGAGTGGTAAGAACCTTTGGATTACCTTAGAAGCACAGTGGTAATGTTTTTGGCTGCCTGCTTCCTTTCCGTTGCTAAGCACTTACGCCTTCCTTCCCAACAGAGGCTGTAAAATGCAACTGCTGCTGCTATTGCCGTTAGTGTTTGCCACACATACCTGCTCAGCTCCTGGAAAATGACGAGACTGATGAGCCTCTCCTGGAAAACCTTTCATCACGTAGATTCATCTCAGGTTGTATTTTTAAGTAAGCTGAAAAAGAATGCCACTGGTCTACTTAAATTTTAATTCGGGATCCAAATATCTTCTGATTTTTTGACTAATTTTATACCATTTTCTTTTTCAAGCTGAACACTGAATAGCTTAGGAGAGACCCTTCATCCTTTCTACCTTGTTGCCAGAGATATTTCCTCCCTTCTTTTTAGTCTTGCTGTGGTCTGTGCAAACAGTTACTGACTGAAGGAGAGCTTATCCAAGGGGATGGTATCCATGTCTGAGCTTTTAAATTCTGGAAATTAGGAAAATGTTTTGTCTGGAACAGGCGTACCTCTGGCTATGAAATAATGCCTATTTTTAATTAAAATATTCAGGGGGCGGTTATAGAAACTGTAAAAGAAAAGCAGCTTGATCACAATCGTAAAATTTTCACAGCTGTGTCATATTCTATACAGCTTTATTAAAGAGATGAAGCAAAACTGATCTAGTGTGAATGAATAGCAAGATTTATCCAGCCCCTCTATTCATTATTAGTTTCAGGTTGTATATTTCATTAGTATTTGAAACAAGAAACAGTGCACATTTAAATGGGCATATACCTTTGCTTAGTGAGGTTTTAAAATAAAATTAAAACAATTTACTTGGGGAAACTGGATTCTACATAGGTGAGTTATAATAATGACAGCAGAAGTGTTTTGTGAGGGACAGGCAAGAAACTAAGATGTTAGAAAGCTCGCTGTTTTATGAGATGACACTCTGCCTACTGCGCTAAGAAGGCACTTGAAAGCTCTGTTTTAAATGAGTATATTCAGATGGGTGTGGATGAGAATCTTTGTCTTTGATTAAAAAGTATCAGTGTGGTGGTGGAGGGTGGGTGGAACATGTGCACACATGGAAAAAAAAAGTCAAAAAAACCCAGCATTAGTGTTTGATAGGACTAACCAGGATTAAGAGTCTGGGTCTAAGATATAAATAAACAACTTAGCTTCTGAATTGTATACCTTCTTGAGAGGTTCTAAAGGTGGGACTGTACGGAGCAAAAATCTGCCACCCCAAAATAGGTTGTTTTAGCAAGAGGTTTTTACTTCATGGGAGGTCTCTGAGGTTTTGTGAAAGTTAGTTTTCATATTTATTTATAAATTTCTCTCTGCAAGGGCCTCTCTCTGAAAGATTTAATCTTAATTTTTTTTCCTTAGAAAAGACAGAACTTAAATATGCATACCTTTGTTTTTCCTAACTCCCTAACTGAACTCCCCTTTATTCCCCCCCACTTCCCTTATCTCAGCTAAGCTATTTAAAATGATGTCTGAAACTACCTGGGCTATTCACTCATGCTGAGTCTCTGTCTCCAGTGTGTACAGGAGGCAAATATATTATTATTGTTATACTTTTTTTGGCTCTTGTAAAAAAAGGTATTAGCGGGCCTCCCCAGTGGCGCAGCAGTTGAGCGCTGAGCTGCGAAGCTGCCCGCAGCCTCTGCAGTGCTGGTTCGATCCCCTGCCGCTGGGCGAGGGTCCCACAAGGCGCACAGACCTCTCCTGCCACGCCCGCTGCTCCCCTCAGCGGTGCATTTTGTCAGTCTGCCTGTTCTGTTCTGTTCTGTTCCCCGCTCTGGCTCTGGTGAATTCTCTCACCCTCCCGCGCTTCTGACTGTACCCAGAGCTTGTATAAATAAGTAAATAAATCTTTAAAAAAAAAAAGAAAAGGTATTAGCTTTGAATTATTGGAGAATTACCCCTGTCTTTCAAGACTTCCTGTGTAACTTAGAACTGGTGTGAGTTAAATATGAATATGTTACTATTATAATTAGGAATACTTGTTTCACAGATGATCTCTATAAGACTTCTTTTGGCCCTTAAACCTGGAACTGAGCCCCCCCCCCCCTTTAATAAGCTCATTAATGACAGTATACTCAGACCTCTGTGCTCAGATGGCTTCAGTTCCTGTAGAGGCAGTCATCTTCTCTATGTGAAATTTACTTTTTCTGGCATCGTTGGCAGATGCAGCATCTTGCAAAACAATGTTAATTTAAGTAAATACAATCTAAATTCTTAATAGGTAAATTCTAAAGGATCTTATGTAACATATTTTCATGATATGGAAATTACTTATGCTAAATTACCTGTTAGTATTGGACTCCAAAAGCTTTGCCAGTCTCATTTATGGGGGTATAGTAAATATGCTGTAGAGAAGGAAACTGGCCAGCCAGTTTCTGATATAAATAAGTGGTCCACATGCAACAAATGAGAAACTTTAGCCCGCTTATGCTTAGTGACAATGTACTTTATAGTTCTGTTTTATTTATGCTATTGCCACCACTTTCTCTTCTTTTTCCTCCTCATTTCTTTCTTTGCCCCAGAGTACCAAGCAATAGTTTTCCTCCTGTTTGCTCTAGCACTTCCTGGGCTTATATTCAGTGCAATCATAAAGGGAAGTCAGCTTAAGAGAGGACAATGAAGAGTAAAGGCTTGAATTCACACAAGAGATAATGGAACTAATTTTGGAAGAGTTATTCTTGGGATAGTTAAATAGAGAGCCATATAAATAAAGATACACTAATGACACTCAATTTCCCTTTGTTTTCATTTGTGTTGCCTCAGTATCTTTTTTTCTCTTTCAGGAAACCTCCATAACATACATTGATATTTGAACCAGAAAGAATGCAAGGGACTTTATATTTCACCGCCTCTGTTTTATAGAGATATGGAATGTTATGATGTTGGGGGAAAGTAGCCAAATATTACTTTAAATTATAAATAATTAATGCTTTGAAGATTGGGTTAAACAGGAATTGATATGTCTCTATGGAAAATAAGTTAGGAAGCTTTTTATCAATATGCAGGAAGGGGCTGAAATATTTGTGTCTTTTAACTTAGGGATTCTACTTCTGAGAATTCGTTGTAAGGAAGTGTTCATAAATAGAGAGAAAGCTTGTGGATAGTAGAATTTATTACAAAAGTAGTTATTTATAATTTAAAAAAGTAGAAAGCAATCTAAATGTCCAACTATAAGAAATCAGTTAAGAAAATTCCAATCAATGAAATGTTGTGTTGTCATTGAGCATGTTTACTGGGAGTATGTAATAACAAAGAGAGATACAGTGTTCAGTGGTAGAAAAGATGGTGTAGAGCATTATCTATTCAATGTGATCAGAAATTGGTAAAATAGACCTTTGCCTAGAAAAAAAGTAAATTTATTAAAATGTTGGCAGTGATTTATATTCAGGTGGTAAAGCTATGTGAATCTTATTTTCATCTTTTATAGCAGTTCAAAATTGTCTTTAATGATCACATACTATTTTTGTTGTGGGGAGAAAGGATGTTCTCCTCTACAATAGTACCTTCCCACTGAAAATATTACTTTCCCTATAGCTTTAACAAGGAATAATAAAAGTCAGTCTGCAAGCACTGGCATAAGACTTTTGCCGGAGAACAGGTACAGCATGGATTCTCTACCAGAAGAATTTTTTGTGAGGTAAGAAATGGCTTGTGAAAAAACCAGCTGCAGTTATTGCATTCCAAAAACACATTTGTCTTTTCCATAAAACCTTGGTAAACTAGTGTGAGTGTGATGATACCTTTATGTTTCAAGACTATTTGGCAACTTTGATTGGTGGGGCATGTAGACTGGGTGAAATTTAATTTTAGAAAATTTTGCTAAGGACCACACCTGGATAAAAATCCGAGAATTGGGGCCTCCCTGATGTTCTAAGGGTTAACTTTCACTGCTATCACCTCTATAACCAGGGTTCGATGCTGGCCAGGGAGCTAACCCACATGACACAGTAGACCTCTACTTTCTCTCCCACTGCTCTCCTTAGCACTGTATTTCAGTAAATCCACCTGTCTTCTGCTCCCCACTCTGTCTCTGGTGAATCCTCTCATCCCCGGCACCCTGGTCTACACCCCAGTTCTTGTATGCAAAGATTTTTAAAAAAAATCTGAGAATTGGAAAGTACATACCTGGGGTAGCAACTAGGATTTCAGTTAGTAATTTTTAATGGTGAAATTTTAATGTTGGGGAGGAGTGAGGATCGGTTAAGTTTACACATAAAATTTTGTTATGGGGAACCTAAGGACAATATGTTTCTAAAGCTTCACAGGTGATATTAATATGCATCTGGAAATGAGAACTACTGGATTAAGAAATGAATTATCTTGAAATGGAGTTAACAAGTAGGGTATACATTTAAGACCATTTTGTACTCTTTTTCAATCCTTAAGAGGCTTCAAAATACTGCTATAGTATTTATCATTCCTGGATAATTCAAAGTTACTTGGTTTGGGAGTTGGAAGTAGAGGAAAAGACAACAGATTTTTTTTTTTTTTACAATACATTTTAAAGAGCACTGAATCATACTGTGAAATGCTGTGTCTATAAAGGAAATACTGTTGTTGAAACTTTAATTATGATAATACTATACTGTTTATGTGTCCCAGTTTTCCTGACAAAATCAGTCAGCACATAGATAATAAATGATTATCTCTTAAATGAGTATATAAGTGTGATATAAAATAGGATTATATTATAAAGTATAATTCTATGTAAATCAAGTTATTGATATAATCAAGGATATGATTTTCTCACCTCATTTTTATCTCTGCTAGTGTATACAGCTAAAAACAGCATATAAGTCACATGATCCTATGTTATGATTCTTATATGATGGATCCTTTGTCATGGTTCTGTATGTAGCAAAAGCAATTTATAAGTAAATTTTTCAGTTTAAATATGAGCACTGCATTTCAAGCCAACATCCAAAGCAAACTTGTAAAGTTATTCTTTTTTCCAAAAAATATAATGGTTTTGAAGTTTTATATTCTACCTCAATTAAAAAAATATTTTGGAAAATTGAACAGCTGTAACTCCAGAAACCTGAAAAAATACTATAAAATGATTTATAAGAGAGGTCTTTTTCAAACCTTTGTTCTATTCATGAACACATGCACAAAGCAAAATAAGCCTCTTAAAGGATCTTTTTTTCTTTATATTGAAACAGAACTATTGAGGTTTTTTCCCCCATTATTTTGGTCTATTCTATGCCTGTTAAGGACAAAAAGTTATTTACATCAGTTTTCTGTTCTTTCTGTACCATCTAGTAAGAGCATGGCATAATTTCTGTTCTTTAACTTAATTCCCTAAAGACTTGCACTACTACCACCACCATTGTTAGTCTTTGATACATATTGTTTATTCTTTTGAAACTTCTAGATAAAAATTCACTTTTTTAGACTCTTTATTATTGTATTTTAATTGTGTTCTTTTTAAGGAGATGCTTTGACTATTCTTTTTCATTTAAAATAGGAATCCTTTAGAAGAGCAGACTAAGGAGGAAACTGAGAATAGTATAGAAAAATCAAATGATCAACTGGTAAGATATTTAATTTATAATCACTAGTTATATGTGAGATAGTAATGCTAAGGGCCTCCCTGATGGCCTAGGGGTTAAGTCTCAGTGCTGTCACCACTGTGGCCTGAGTTCCATCCCTGGCCAGGGAGCTAACCCACATATGGTGCAACAGACCTCTCCTGTCTCACCTGCTGCTCCCCTTAGCAGTGTATTTCAGTAAGTCTGCCTGTTCTGCCCCCACTCTGTCTCAGGTGAATCCTCCCACTCCCCTTTACCTCTGACCTACACCCAACAGGCAACCATAGACCGGAGACATTCTATTGGGGAGGAGGAGGAAGAAGGATCAGGACAGGGGTGGGAAGAGCACAAGGGACTATGGTGATGGTGCACAGGTGAATTGGTGGTGGGAATTTCACAGGGAAATCATATATTTTACAAAATTGAAGGATGATGTAATAAATAAATGTATATATACACACTATACATATATACACACACAAATAAAAACAAATCTTTAAAATAAAGAAAGTAATGCTAAATTGAATCAATTTAATTATCTGTTAAAAATATGGAATGAGTCTGCCTTTCTATTCAATAAGTAAAATTAAAGTTGTAATTAAGTCTTTCCTCAATAATTTATACTGTGTCTCATAGCTTCCATTCTAAGCAGCAGTCCTCACTGAAAGTTATATGCAAAAAAAGCATGCACAAAGAATTTTATTTAGTAAAATTCTTTCACTGAGTTATTTCTGAAGTTAGTTTTCTCCCCTTTTAAAATCATCTTCTAGTTTTAAATGCAAGAGAATAACTGAATTATACGTTAATATAAGGCTCTTATCGCCAATGACAATATACATTATGGTAAATTAAAAATAAAAATACATATATATGTTTGTAAATATATATGAATATCAGATGTGCTTTTATTCAGTGAAAGATAGATGAAGAGGTATTTGTTAGTTCTTGTTAGTGTAATTTTTATCTGCCACATAGTTTTTGCATAATGACTGATGTGCTTATAAAGTTTATAAGCTCTATCCAGTAACTTAGGAGGAGAAAATATACATAAGAAGAGCAAACTAAGGAGGAAACTGAAAATAGTATAGAAAAATCGAATGATCAACTGGGAAATATACATATACATAAATATTTAAATATTTATGTATATAAACATAATCAAATATAAATAAATACCCATAATATACATAAATACCCATAATATTTACCTACATGAGGTTACCACTACAATTATGTTGCAGAGAAAATACAACATGTGCAAGTGTATATAAACATGTACAGTTGAACCAGGGGGGTTAGACCCCCAAAAAAATTTCTAGATACGGATTTGGAACACAAGCAAGGTAGATAGAAACTTTCACCTGAATTTAGTTTAGAGATCAAATCAATTCTGGAAAAATGTATCAAGTATCAAATATTTTCACAACATAAAAAAAATAAAATTGCATTTATAAAATGTAAACATTTAACTTATATATAAATAGTATGTATTATATATAATGTAAACAGATATAAATGTGTAATACTTAATATGTATTTTATAACAGCATATTTCCTCTTGAGAAAATTTTATTCATGCTATAATCTTGTTTGTATATCAATCTGATTTAGTGTTAGAAGATTCTGTGGTAACTTTTGATAACAGAATTTAAATATATGCACCACTGCCAGTGGTCATTTTTTTATTTGTCTAGTTACTTTGTAAAAGTTTTTTTAACCCTACGAAAATGTTGCAGGAATAGTATGACAAACAATTATATACTGCTAACCGAAATTTAGCAAGCTACTAACATTTTTGTGACTTTTCGGATGTAATTTTCATATAATGAAGTATAGGAATTATTTGTTGGATGTTAATGGGGAGGGCAAAAATCTTAATTTAAGACTCAAACTCAGAAGGGGAAAGTATGCAGGTAGTCCTACTCAATGAATTTTATTGGTTTCTAATTACTTTCCTGGATCTAGGTCTGTTAGAGACCTGGCAGTCAAAGACACCCACCCCCTGATATTTCCAACGACCCAAGCTCTATATGACCTGTGTTCAGAAACTCTCTGTTCTCATTTTCCGAGGTCAGCAGTAGCAAATTCATATTCCTAAAGTTTCAACAGGGTGTAGGGACTGTGGTGTCTTGTTAAGGTATTGAGGAAGGCCATCGTCCTTCTGTTCCAGCCCCTTTATCCATGCCTATTGCCCACTCATCCTCACAACTAGTGTTAATAGACAATCCAGCAGGACCTTAACTGTACAACTCTCAATTAACCATTAAGTATAGGCTTAATTAAGTCTATATAAATTAGTTCCTGAAGTCCCAAGATTATTAATGTTTAATCAGTGCAGACTGAATTGAGATGGTAAGTCATTTTATTTTACTACTCTTTTATAATTTAAACTATGACAGCTGTATTCAAATTGCTGCATGTTTAGTAGATGAAGCATAATGTGAAAGCACTCTTACAGTTTTCATATTATTATGAGAATAATCTGTAATTTTTTAAATTTAGCATTTTCAATGCCTTAAGTAGAGCAGACTAATATGTGCTATGCATTTTTCAATGTCAATAATTTGTTAAAGCCTACACCCGTTTAAGCCTAAAGTTGTTTAAGATTCCCTTCTACCACCCTATAATACAAAAGTCTGGTAATTCCCATCTTTGAATCTCTTACTTATGCTTTCAAGTGAATTGAAATGAATTGTTAAAGCTTCTTTATTTTGGTCTTAAGCTTCTTGCTAAGTTGTAAGTTCCCTAGGAATACAGAGAATGTCATATTCTTATTTGGATTTTTTTAGTTATTATAGTAATCTCCATATAGCATATAGTAGCACCTTGGTCTTTTTTAAAAAATACTTTGCCTGCTTTTAATGTTAAAGTAAATAATAACACGTATAAATGCATAAAAAAATAATGTCTTCTAGGACAAACAGGGAAAGGAAATGCTTACTGATCTGGTCCCTGTTAACCTACTATTAGAAGTGAAGAAGTTACTAAATGCTATAAATACTCTACCAAAAGGTGTGGTACCTCATATTAAGAAGTTTTTACAGGAAGATTTTTCCTTCCAAACTATGCAGGTAAGATAATAATTTGTTCTTTGGGGCAGAAGTGCACTTTTATAGATAAAACTGTATGTAACCATCTAGGGAAAGCACATTGTATTCCTTTACTCTCATCTACTACCACACTTATGACACTTCTGACACAAGATGTGTGCATTTATTCCCACATGGACCCATTCTGACATAGTTGGGTGTCCTACAAATCAATTCAATATTGATTCCTTGCACTTAGAGTTAGCACAAGATTCCACAAGTTAAGAGCTCACTTGCACAAGACTGTCCCCCCTTCAGACACCAGTCTAAATTCTGGGATGTTGCTGATATTTCTGACTAACTATAAATCAGGGTTCCATGACTTTCTCTTGGGTTTAGTAATTTGCTAGAACAGTGCACAGAATTTAGGGAAATACTTAATTTTACTAGTTTATTATGTAATAAAGGATACAAATAAAGAGCCAGATGAAGAGATAGGGCCTGGTCTGGAAGGCCCTATCAGAGCAGGATCTTCTAGTCCTCTAGAGTTGGGGTTGCCACCCTTCTGCCATGTGGATTTGTTCACTAAACTGGAAGCTCTCTGAGTCTCATAGTTTTAAGATTTTTATGGAGACTTTTTCATGTAGGCATGATCAATTATTAATTCAGGTAATAGGCCCTCTCCTCTCTGGGAATGGGGTATGGGTCTGAAAGTTCCAACTTCTTATCATGGCTTTATCTTTCTAGTAACCAGCTCCCATCCAGAAGCCGGCCATGAGTTAATTCATTATACCAAAAGATACTCTTATCACCCAGGAAGGTCCAAGCTTCAGACACTCCTAACACCTGGAAGTTGTGTGTCCAAAAGCAGGGTCAAAGTCTAAATATTATCAGGAACTAGAGACAGTAATCAATATATATGTATATATGTCTATGTATGTATATTAGTTCACATACATGGAGCGGGACACAATGTGATAAAGCTGTGAATGTCCCATAAATTAAAGCTTACAACTCTCATATAATTCCAATAAAAATAATTAAAATAGCTTTACATCTGGTTTCTGTATTAGCTGGTACTTTGTTACATGGTTTTAGAAAAGCTGAACAAGCTTTTCAGAGAAGCTGAACAAGCTTATCTAAGGATGAAAGCACTAGGAAGATCAAATGTTTTTTCAAATACATTCACATCTTGACCAGATTATTTGTCTTGTTTGTAACCCAATATTTTTCTTGAGAAAGTTTACCTATGGAATAAAATTTTTTAATGTCAAAGAAAAAAAATAAGTAAAATATTTTTTGACTGCTGTTACTAAAGGCTGACTCTACATTTCAAATGCAAAATAAAAGAATAACCCAAAAAATTATGAAGGATAAGTGTAGGGGAGAAGGGCTAGGAATATGCCCACTTAGATTATGAAGTTCTGATTACTAAAAGATGTGCTACTTGTTCTTCACACTACAGTCAAGTCTAAAAGTGAAATTTCAAGTGAAGTCAAGTCTTCAAGTGAAATTTCAGAAGTTCCTCAAAAATAGAAATAGAACTTATATATTTGTATGATAAGATGACAAAAACTGACAATATTAGAGGAGAAATGGACCAATCAACAATCCCAGTAGAATATTTTAAAAATAATTCCCTTGATAGCTGATAGAGTATACAAAATTAGTAGAGCTGAAATAGGATCCAATTGGTTAGTCCTCACCCACATGGTTAAGAAGGTAGGACATGACCCAGAAGCAGACGCATAGTGAGAAACAACAATAACAGGATTTATTTACACAGGGAATTATAAAAGGGAAAGCTGAAAGAGGATTTATAAGTTGGCATGTGGCCAGATAGCCTCTATACTACCCCAGTAATATCTGCTGAGTAGCCAGACACCCAAGCTGAAGCCACCTGTAGGAACCTGGAAACTTCTCCACAGATACTTCTCTCATCACTGGTTTAGCAGCAAAAACACCTCTTGTTCAACTGCCAAAGCCCGAGTGGTTAAACTATCTAAACCCTGGCACTATCCCTTTCTTGGGATGGAGTTTGGAAAGGTTCACCTTCTGCTGTCAAGTTGGTTATGAGTGCCAGCCACTGCCTTGGAGGTTGTTACTCACTGTTCCTCTTATATAACAGTAGAAAATTTGATTGACTATTTCATATAGTGTATGTATAAAAAATTTACAATATTTTAAGTGTGTTTGTGTATACATATATGTAAACACTGCACCTATTAGCAGAATATACATTCCTTTTGATTGTACATAGAAGATTTATAAAATTGACCATATGCTAGGTCGTAAACCAAACCAAGTCTCATTAAATTTTAGAATATCAAAGCATACAGAATATGTTCTCTAACTACAGAAGGACGAGCTAAAAAACTGTATATTCATAAGTCAAGACATATACTTCTAATCATGGTAAATCATGGTTCAAAGAAGAAATCACAATGAAAATTAATCTTTAAGCTGAATAAAAAATATATATCAAAACTTGTGTTAATAAGTAAAAGCCATGTTTCAAAGGAGTATTTATATCTTGAAATACAAAAATAAGCAAGGTTGAATACCAATCTTCTAAACATAGAGTTCAAATATAAGATCAGCAAATTAAAGTGCAAAGAAGGAAGTATAATAAGGATAGCTAGTGAACTAGAATAAAATAAAAATAGAGAAGATTAAATAAATAATAAAACAGAAAAGATCAATGAAGCCAAAGATTGGTATTTTGAATAGCCTTGTTGTTGTAGAGCAACCCCGATACAAAACGGGGTGCCTGACTGTGGGTCCTCACCCTTGCACTTGAAAGGACTTATCAATGCTCTACTGCAGGCACACACAAAAGGTTAATAAAAGGTTTATTTACAAGGGAAGGGGAAATGAGGAAATGTATAGCTCAGGGAGAAAAGTGGGAGACAAAGTTTTAGATGAGTCCTACCCGATCCGCCGACCTGGAATCCCAAATGGCACTCTGAGAGCTGGCTGCGAGCCAGGAGCCGTGAAGCCAGGAGGCGAGCGGCAGCGAGCCAGCCCAAGGCCCACGTGTTTGGTTTTTATACCCAACCTGCCTGCCCAACTCCACCCTCAGCTCCCAGCCACCCTCCCTTTGGTGGTGACGGGATTTGTCTTTCCCAATGTCTTGATGGCTTTAGTCTGGAGTGGGGGTGGGGTCCACAAAGCCTGTATGGGATTAGCTCAGGACATCATTTCCCCCTAACATTGTCAGTAAATGTTTAGTAAGATTGTTAAAGAAAAGGAAAAAGGCAAAATAACTAAAACCATGAATTAACATGAAAATACAAATTCCATAGTCAGTTAAGGATAATAGAGAATTCTTTTACCTACAGGGAATGCCTGGGTTGGTTTAAAGCAACCTTCCTTTCAGAAGACCTAGAAAAACTGGACAGACTCTTAGATGCTTATTTGTTCTTTCTGACATCACTTAATTGTTAGGATTGAGATGACTTAAAGTTTAACTTCTGTTCTGTGAAGAAGGGTCTGTTCATACTACCCTTTGCAGCAGAGTCGCAGTGCCTTGCCTTTGGACTCTACCATTTCAGAATGCTTTAAACAATTTCCAATTTTCAGTGTCTGCATCTCTATGCTTTAGTCCTTAATATTTTCTTTGTGGAACTGCAGAAAGTTATACTTCTCGCAGCAGGACAGAAGTCCCTGGGAATTAATACTTGCCCTTCACTCCAGAAAGCACTCAAGCAATAATCCTGGAAAGCTGTTATATAAATATCCTAGTTCTCTCTCTCCTTGAGTTGGATAGTACCACTGACAGTTGTATTTTTCAATGTTTTCTAGCATTCCCCTGTTGTACCTGTCTCCCATTGTGGGTAACTAGCTTAAATTAACACATTCCTTTACTTAAAAACTGTTTTCCCATCCTTATGTCACTTCTCTAATTCCCTAAAATTGTACTCTGTACCTCCTAAATAAACTTCTTGCATTTAAATCCTTGTGTTAGGATCTTCCAATCGGAACCAAAACACTCTTACTCTATGGGTATATTTCTTCATGGTCCCCACCAAAAGAATAAGGTGTTTACCATGGCCGTTTCTCCTTAATAGTCCATGCATTCCAGTTTTGTTGAAACCTCTACCTACTCTCTCAACCACAACTGAATATAATCATTGTCTGAAGGTGGCTTCAAAAGACAGTTTCAAATCTCTGGACCATCCACTCTTGCATGTTGTCCCCAGAGATTTTCAGTGTCGTGGTAGCTTTCCATACTTCCAAACAAATGGTTTTTATATTTTCTCCAGCTTTTTGAGAATTGATCTGACATTTCTTAGACTATTTGGCAGCAGTGGAACTTCCATGTTAAATTTTATATTCCTATTCAAATTCAAGTGATACTGTTGAGTGAATGGTTGGGTATTAAGTCTGGAATTCAGGTAATAGCTATGAGCTAGAATATAAATTTAGAAACAGTCTGTGTAGACACTATTTAAAAACATGACAATTACTTTGTTGAGGGAATTTGTATTGATGGAGAAAAGGTTAATTAAATTGAGTTCTGGGGAGACTGAGATAAAGTACTAGTTAGCTCAGAGAAAAAGTATTGTATACTGGAAAGCAAAGAAAGAAAGTAAAAGATTAAACTTCCCTCGTTGATTATACGTCATTAAACAGATAATACAATTTAAGTCAAACAGTTGTGAACACAAGGCATTGGGAAGTGGACCCAAAGACAAAATGCAGTCCTTCCTCTCTTTCATTCATGTAAATAACAAACTATGGTACATAATAATCCACTTACTAACTTGGCTTCAATCAGACTGAAGCAAGAAATACTTGTCATGGTGTTGGTATTAATGCTTGCATTCCTGCTTCTACAGGCTAAGAGTAGGAAGGAAGAGTTGTTGAAAATCAGAAGTATGAGAATAAAATGGGATTTACACATTTCCCCAAAGTAGGAGTAGACAATTTCCAAACCTTGACAGGCTTAGATATGCTTCTTACTGTCTTGAGGAAATAATTAGTTACAAAAAAGACTTGTGATACTACTTAAAAATAAGCAGATATGAAATCATTTGTATCTGGATAGTGTGGATTTTAAAAAATCACTTCTATCCTCCACATTTTCTACAATGAGCATGTATTATTTGTATAATAGGAATATTTAGAGATATTCTTGCTTAAGGAAATTTTGAATCAAATTTTTTTCATAGAGAGAAGTTGCAGCTAGCAGCCAGAATGGAGAGGAAATTGTTCCTGCTTTGACTTTATGTTTTTTGATAACACAACTGGAAGCAGCACTTAGGAACATTCAAGCTACTAATTATACTGTAAGTATTTTCCTTCTAAAATTTTGAAACAGTGGATATGGACATTTTTGAATTTGTTAACAACTAGTGCTTCCTTGTTTTAAGGTATAAGATAATTTGTATTTTTTTCTCTTACCTCTAAAGAAATGTATAAATAAATGTTCTTCTGTGATGTATACTTTATTATGAATGCAACTCTTTAATGATCCTATTCTATTCCCCTTCACTATCATAAAATTGTTCAGAAACTTGAACTAGTAAAAATAGGCATTCCCAATTAGAAATGTATAGTCATGAATTTCAGAAAGTACTCCTTTCTTTCACCCTAATGTTAATTAGGTCCTCTTTTTAATGATATTCTATATTTGTGAAACTTGGAACTTCTGTGATGTTGTTCCTAGATAAGTTTGACAAAATAGATTTTCTCTTCAAATTTTATTTGCCAATTGTTTATGTAATCATATAATTTGGGGAGTACAACTTCTCACCTCCATATGTGCACATGCTTCACTCACCCTCCATCAAAACCAGTGCCCCATCCCCTTGCCTCCCCTATCCTCTCTTCTCTGCCCCTATGCCTTCTGGTAACCGGTATATTTTTCAGGGTCTACTAATTATTTTTCTTGTGCTTTTCCAGTGTTTTCTTGATATTCTGCAAATGAGGAAACCATCAACACTCTTTCACTTTCTGATTTATTTGACTTAGCATTATCACCTCAATATTCATCCATTTTGTCCCAAAAGGCACTGTTTCACCTTTTTAAATAGTTGAGTAATATTCCATTGTGTATATGTTTTCGCCAGTTTCTTTATCCATTCATGTGTATATGGGCATATAGGTTGGTTCCATGACTTAGCTATTGTGACTGATATGGCTATGAACTTAGAAGGGCATATATCTTTTTATATTAGTGTTTTCATATTCTTTGGGTAAATGCCTAAAAGTGGTATTTCTGGATCATAGGTATATCTATTTTCAGTTTTTTGAGGGCTCTCCAAACTATTTTGCATAGTGGCCACACCAAACTGCATTCTCACATGGATAAGTGTTCCTTTTTCTCCACATCCTCACCAACACTTGTTGTTTCTATTCTTTTTGACATAGACCATTCTTATAGGCATGAGGTGATATTTAATTGTGGTTTTGATTTGCATTTCTCTGGTAATATAAGTGGTGTTGAACTTTTTTTTTTTTCATGTGCCTGCAGGCCTTGTGAATGTCTTTAGAAATGAATGTCTTTGGGGAAGTGTCTGTTTAAGTCTTTTGTCCATTTTTTTTGACTGGGTATTTGTTTTCATCTTGTTAAGTGGTACAAACTCTGTAGATTTTAGAAATTAACCCCTGTTGGGCATGCAATGTGCAAGTATCTTTTCCTAGTCCATAGGTCACCTTTTTGTTTTTGTGGTGAGTTTTTCAAGATACAAAAGCTTTTAGTTTGATTTCATTTATTTTTTTTCATTTTTGTGTCCCTTGCCATTTCCAAATGCATCTTCCTGGTTGATGTCCAAGAGTACCACTTATGTTTTTTATGGATTTTATGGATTTGGGTTTTATAGTCAGGTCTTTAATCCATTTTGAATTAATTTTTGCATATGGAATTAAGTAATGTAGCTTCATGTTGTTTGCATGTGGCTGTGCAGTTTTCACGACACTATTTATTTAAAACTATCTTTTTAAAGATTTATTTATTTATTTATACAAGAACTGGGGTACAGGCCAGATTCGCGGGAGGGTGAGAGGATTCAGAGACAGAGCAGGGAACAGAACAGGCAGACTGATGAAATACACTGCTGAGGGGAGCAGTGGGCGCGACAGGAGAGGTCTGCTGTGCCATGTGGGACCCTCGCTGGCTGGCCGGGATCAAACCGGCGCTGCAGAGGCTGTGGGCAGCTTCACAGCGCGGTGCTCAACCGCCTACACCACCAGGGGAGGCCCCGCACACTATTAAAGGCTTTCCTTTGTCTATTGTATGGTCATGGTTCCTTTGCCAAGGATTTTTTTTTTCTGTATTTGTATAGGTTTATTTCTGGGCTCTATTCTATTCCACTGGTCTGTGTCCAATATCATTCGGTTTTGATTACTATCACTGTGTAGTATAGGTTGAAATCAAAGAGGGTGACCCTTTCATTTTCTTCTTTTCTCTTAGATTGCTTTGTGTATTCAGGGTCTTCTGTGGTTCCATCATATTCTTTTGTTGATGTTAATATGATGCTTTAGTGCCATTTACAGTTGTTTTGTATGTTTTGTTTCACCTGTGTTTGGTTCATAAATATTGATGAGTTATATCTTCTTGATGGAGTGTTTCTTTTATCATTATATAGAACCAGCTTTGTCACTGATTATCTTTTTTTGGCTAAAAGTCTAAAATCTCATATATAAGACCAATAGTTCCTGCTTTTTTCTCTGTTAATGGCTTGAAATACCTTGCTTCAGCTTTTCACTTTAAATCTGTTTGTCTTTAGATCTGAAGAAAGACTCATGAGAGCGTAGTGTAGATGGGTCATGTTTTTTGTTTTGTTTTGTTTTTTAAAAAAACCAACCTGTCATGCTGTCTTTTAAGTTGGTGTTTAGGTTATTTTATTCATGCTTATGGTGATTATTGATATATGAGACTGATTTGCTGCCATTCTGTCTTTTGGCTTTTTTTTAATCTGTCTGCCCCAACAATCTTCCTCTTCATTTGTTGGTGGTTCTCTCAGTTTCTTTGTTTTTTACTTCTAAGTGCCTTTATTACAGTTTTTTGTTTTGTGGTTACCAAGTGGGTTGTATTAAACTTTCTGTATCTTTAAGTCCTTTTCTGTGCTGTTTTGACTCATTATCACTTGACTGGATAAATGCTATCCTTTTCTTTCTCTCCTTTAATATTTTGTCATTGTCCCATGTGGCTTTTTGTCTGTTTCTAATTCTATGTTTTTATTTATTATCTTGCCCAAAGCCCTATTTTCTTTTCTTATAAGGGGATTTATTTTTTTAAAAGATTTATTTATGCATACAAGAACTGGGGTACAGGCCAGAGCTGCGGGGGGTGAGAGCATTCACCAGAGACAGAGTGGGGAGCAGAACACATGGGCTGACTGAAATACACTGCTGAGGGGAGCAGTGGGCGAGACAGGAGAGGTCTGCTATGCCATGTGGGTAGCCCCTGCCCGGGGCTCGAACTCGTGCTGTAGCCCCTGGCCAGGGCTTGAACTCGTGCTGCAGAGCCTGTGGATAGCTTCTTAGGTTGCGTCTTAACCCCTTGTGCCACCAGGGAGGCCCTAAAGGGACTTCTTTTAGCATTTCTTGTAGGACAGGTCTAGTGTAGTAATTTTTTAATCTTTTTATTTTGAGATCATTTTAGATGCACAAATTGTAGAAATATAGCTGTATTCAAAAATACAGAGCGTAGTCTTTGTGTGCTTTTTACTCATTTTCCCCCAACAGTTAAATCTTACATAACAAAGATAGATCATCTGATAGATCTCACAGATTGGTAAAATGTTGTGTCATACTTCTCTACAATCACTCCCATGTTCAGAAGGATTCACAGGATTCATTATATAGTTGTATTCAGCTAAAATTTATCACAGTGATGTAATTAAAAACAAAAAATATCCAGATCATAAGGAGAAAAAAACAGAGGTAGAATCTGAGGACTTTATCTGCTAGCTTCCTTATGTTTTCTCCCTCTCTTGAGGGATCACAAGAGTACTGTCCCTCCTCCCTTCTCTAGCATAAATTTAGCAATAAGTGCGTGTATGATGTTTCTGCCCAGAGAAGCCCCTTAGAGATTCAGCGCCCAAACTTAGTTATTTGGATACCCACTTAGTATACATCAAAATTTCAACATCCTGGAAGATACTTAGTATAAATCACCTAATATGCACAAAGTAGGCACAATGAGACACCTATGTCATTTAGAGAACAGTGGGAACACTCCTGAAATCCAGGTTCCCAGACCACAGCCAAGGGTAAGCCTTGAAAGCAGACCTTTTTAAGGATAGTATCTTTTACTAACTTTGTAATTCACAGGTTTGTATAATTCCGTGCCATTTTATCAACATTGTATATTGTGTAACTACTATTCCAGTCAAGGAAGAACTGTCTCCCCACAAAAATCTTTTTTTTTTTTTTTTTTAAAGATTTATTTATTTATTTATACAAGCACTGGGTACAGTCAGAATCGCGGGAGGGTGAGAGAATTCACCAGAGCCAGAGCGGGGAGCAGAGCAGGCAGAAGGACCGAAGTACACTGCTGAGGGGAGCAGCGGGCAGCAGAAGTCTGCGCACCATGTGGGACCCTCCTCTGGTGGCCGGGGAGCAGCCGGGGATTGAACCGGCGCTGCAGAGGCTGCGAGCAGCTTTGCAACCCAGTGCTCAACCGCTGCGCCACCGGGGAGGCCCCCCACAAAAATCTCTTAAGCTACCTGTTTATACTTACGTGCTTACTTCTCCTTTCTCACTTCCTAATCCCTAATCTGTTCTTCAGCTCTATAATTTGCCATATACCATTTTTAAATGAACAACATATCCTTGTGTTTTGATTTTTCATTGAACAAGTGATAAGCTTCATATACATGTTATAATAAAACCCACATGTGAGCAATAAAAGACTTCGACTAAAAGATCATTGTACTTTATAAGCTGGATGGTAGAGTATTCTTGATACAAATGATATAGAATTAGAACATGAGAATTTTTTGAAAGGTTTAATATAACAAGTTTTGATAACATTTAGTTTCACTTTCTTTAATAAAATTATAGTGTTTTATTTTGAGATTGTTCTCTTCTGGGTCAAATTGTCAAATAATTAAAGGATTTAAAATACATTTTCAATCGTAATTAGGTAATTCATAATATAATGACCAGTTTTACTATTTTGAACAATTATTATTTATTAATAGATCTATTGTTATTTAATAACTATTGAATAGGCTTAGAATAGTAAGCTGCTTGTACTGAAAAGTGACTTAGTCTAAATAACCAGTTAAAATATATTTTACCTTTTTAGGCACATCAGATTAATGTTGGGTACTATTTGACATTGCTGTTTCTGTATGGAGTAGCACTCACTGAAAGAGGAAAGAAGGAGGTATGTATATGTTACTTGCCCATTACAAATAACTTTGCACATATACTGACTTCATTTTGACAAATTAAAATAGTGATTTATGAAATCGTCCAGAAATCAAAACTGTTGATAACTTTTCTGGTACGTATTTCTAATATAGAGTTATTATGCCAGGGACTATTTTGTGACACTAAAAATATTGCTTACAATTTTAGTTATTTTATCTATCTTTTAAATGCTTTTCACTCATGTAAAATGAAATTTAGCTTCCTTCATGTATATAATACATTTTTATCCAATTTTTAATATGTTTTTTTCTACCTAGTTTTAGTCTTACCCCACTTATAAAATACAAGTTTTTTTTAAATTGAAGTATATAATTGACATATATGTATGTATATTTATCTATGTAGTTTCAGATTTACAACATAATGATTCAGTACCTGTATATATTGTGAAATGATCATTCCAGTAAGCCTAGTTAACATCATCATCATACATAAACACAATTTTTTTCTTATAATGAGAACTTTCAAGATCTCTTAGTAATTTTCAGATGTGCAGTACAGTATTATTAATTATAACTGCCATGCTGTACATCACATTGCCATGACTTATTTTATAATGGGAAGTTTGTGTTTCATAATCCTCTCACCCATTTTGCTCCTCCATCTCTAGCAGCTACCAATTCTTTTCTATGAACTTGTAGTTTTAATGTATTTTTAATTCCATGTAAATGAGATAACATAATATTTGTGATCTCAAGTAATTTTACTTAGTGGGGGTGTTTTAGTGTTCACTTCGAAATATTGTCTAAAGAAGATCTAAGTTCCTTGGTAAATAAATATTTTAAGCACTTAGCTATGAATCCCATACAGAGATGGTGGGATTAAGGATGTGAATAAATTACCAAATGACTGGATCAGTATTAATGCTGTCCTAATTTCTTCAGTCTGTGAAATAATTGTTTATCATTGAAGAAAAAAGTGCCTTTTACATTAACCCACCTAGTTTTGTACTATAGGATTATACAGAAGCTGAGAATAAATTTCTGGTAATGAAGATGGTGATCCAAGAAAATGAAATTTGTGAAAACTTTATGACGTTAGTTTATTTTGGACGTGGTTTGCTTCGATGTGCTCAGAAGAGGTAAGGATTTTAATTAATGGATAGATTTTACTTGTCAATTTTCAGCATTGTAAAATGGGATAAAGTTTGTCCAGTATAATTGGGATCATGATATTTGTCCTCTGTTGATTCTTTTTTTTTCCTTCACCTAGTCCTAGAGATGATAATTTCTTTAATGTACTTGAGAATATTAAATAACTTCATAGGCCATGACAATAAAAGTCAGTATAGCATAACTACTAAGAATTAGAAATATCTTCTCGGGAGTCTGACCTGAGTTCAAATACATTTTCTGCCAAGTACATAAACTGTGACCCTAGGACCCTTAATACTTCTGATTCTTATCTTTTTTCCTTGTTTTTAAAATGGAACTAATAATAGTGTGCATGTCGAAGGTTGCTTCAGGTAAAGAATACAGTGCCTGTGACACAAAATGCTATTTTTAATAAATAAATGATGCTTGTAGTTATTAATTTGTTTTTTTTTAAAGACTTATTTATTTATTTATACAAGCACTGGGTACAGTCAGAAGCGGGGAACAGAACAGGCAGACTGACGAAATACACTGCTGAGGGAAGCAGTGGGCACAGGAGAGGTCTGTTGCTCCATGTGGGACCCTCTCCAGTGGCTGGGGATCAAACCGGCGCTGCAGAGGCTTCGGGCAGCTTCGCAGCCCAGCGCTCAACCGCTGTGCCACCAGGGGAGGCCCTGTAGTTATTAATTTGATCACCACTTGGAACAGGTGTTTAAGATGTAAATCAGTTTATAAAACATTCTAATAGTCCAAGTATTGGAGGCCTCTGTTTTGCAGTTTTCCCTGAGTCAATAGTTACTGACATGTGCCTATCGTTCTGTTTCTTTAAGCCAGTAAGCAAAAGCCAACCAACTCTATAATCCCTTTAATTAACACAGGCCCCATACTGTTCAAACTTGAGCCACTCAGTAACCTAGTGCCTCTCTTTCCATTTGTATTTTATCCCAGTCTTCCACAGGTAAGAGTCCTAGTATTTGTATTTCTAGAGCATTCCAGCAGTGGTTACCACCAACCTACTTTCCAGGGAAAATAGGTTACTTGTTGTCGTATTGGTAAACTAGTTAACAGAGTACTATTCAAACTAACTGTTTATAAATGCTTTACAGATATAATGGAGGACTGCTAGAATTTCATAAAAGCTTGCAAGAAATAGGAGATACAAATGATCATTGGTTTGACATAGATCCTATAGAAGACGAAGATTTTCCTACAACATTTAAAGTAAGAAACTATTTAAGAATAGTATTTCACTGGTGAAAATCAGAAATATCTTTGAGGAAGTAGTTTATGATAACTGTTGATATATCATGTTTTCTATATAGCATGAACATTCTTTTATTGGAAATTAACTTTTTATATAAGAAAAAATCTTGATTCCATTACCTAGTGTGTTATACTAGTCCAGTACTTCATATGACTACAGTTAAATATAAGTTAATTTCTTTTTTCTAATATAGTAACTATTATTTGTGTACTTCAATTTAAAAATTTCTAAATGCTTATTTTGGAAAACTTGAAAATATAAAAATTCCCAAAGATAAAATTTAACCATATTTTTTCAAATGGAGAAATCATTGTATTTTCATTGATTCATGCTTTTAAAGACACAAATGTATAAACAACTATTTTTTTAAAGATATATTTATTTATGCATAGAAGAACGGGGGTGTAGACCAGAGGTATGAAGGGTGAGAGGATTCACCAGAGATAGAGTGGAGAGCAGAACAGACGATCTACTGAAATACACTGCTGAGAGGAGCAGCGGGAGAGATGAGAGGTCTGCTGTGCCATGTTGGTTAGCTCCCTGACAGGGATTGAGCTCATGCCTCAGTGGCTGATGACAGTTTGACAGTGCTGAGACTTTAACCCCCGTGCTTCCAGGGAGGCCCTAATAAGCATTTCAAATAGACAGTTTTATTCCAGGTTGTAACTCTGAATACTGGAAGCATGTTTCTATACCCTATCTGCCCATTATGACAGTGAATGGCATATTGAACCACTACAATAGTCCCACTGCCACCATGATATACCAGGGATCAGCCAGTTCTAGAATGACTTTCCTGGAATTCCAGTGATTCTTTCTTGATTATTTCTCCTCCCCATCTCTCTCTCTCTTTCTCTCTCTCTCTCTCTCTCTCTCTCTATATATATATATATATATATACACACACACACACATATATATATATATATATATATAGACAGTGAGCAAAAGCCAACCAACTCTATAATCCCTTTAATTATCACAGTCCCCATACTGTTCAAGCTTGAGCAAGCAATTCTTGATGGAAACATGCAACATGTTATACGTGGGTTAGAATGTTATAATGGTGAAGAGAAATATACCTTCAAACTTAGCCTTTTTTTCCTTTCTCTATGTTTATCTTCAGTATTTCTATTTTGGACCCTTCCTATATATTGTTTGCTTTGAATGAGGGAAATATATTCTATATTATTTGAAACAAAGCATGTATGCTTCCAAAAGGGGATATGTAATGGACATATTATTTAAGATAAAATGTTGGAAATGTTAAAGTCTTAATATTGTTAATTAATGAGCTTTTTATTTCTAAAATTTAGGCTCTTCTTAATAATTTTATTAAGACAACTGAAAATAATATAATGAAGCAGACCATTTGCAGTTATCTAGATTGTGAGCGATCTTGTGAAGCTGACATTTTAAAGAACACCAATTATAAGGTACTATGATTATCAATTAACTGAGTATTTCTTAAAATGTAATTACAAAGTTAAATTATTACAGCATCATTCATCAAAATATTGCTTTAAAGGAGTATTTAGTTTAATTACAGTGATAACGCAATTGAGAAATTGTTTGAATATCTGTGAGAATTTAGATTTATAGTGGACAGGTATTATTATATCCTGTGAGTCAATAAAAGTGTTTATTAATTTTGCTAAGGTTTTTGTAATATTCACCTGTCCCTGAAATTATAATTAATACCTTTGCAATCATACAGTGAAAATTATCTAAAATATTCTTTATAGTTAGAAATATTATGGCTGAAAATACTAGTATTTTACTAAGGAGAAAGGTTATCACTGCAAAAATTATATTATTGAATAATTAATCATTATCTCTTCTATGGCCCGTGGGATGAAAAATTGTAACTAGCTTTGATTGGAAAAAATTCAACAATCAGAATACTTCCAATTGTAGTTCTGTCTGAATCTATCAGAACAAAACTATGGGAAATCACATGATAGTATGAGATGTGACTATCCATGCAAATCTGATACAACCTCCATATGGTAGTGGAAATCTCAATTTCAAGTCACGATGTGTACAGCAAATGGGCTAGTGGGAGGAGGAGGAAAAAAACAAGTTCAGTCATTATGATAAGACAAGTATAATGTAGATGACTGGATCAAGAAGATGTGGTATATATACATAATGGAATACTATTCAGCAATCAAAAAAGAAAAATTCATGTCATTCGCAGCAACATGTCTGAAACTAGAAGGAATTATGCTTAGTGAAAAAAGTCAGAAGGGAAAAGAAAAATATGGAAATGTTTCACTTATAGGCGGAATATAGGAGCACCAAATAAGACATCAGGGTAAAAAAATAATAACAGTACAAAACACAACAAAGCAAAAACAGACAATTATAAATCAGAGACATCCTGCAGGAGAGGAAGAAGGAGAGGGATCAGAGGGAGGGAGGAGCACAGGGGACTGTAGTGATGGTGCACGGGTGCACTGGTAAAAGAAATTCTGTGGGGACTACACCTGAGGTGGGAGGAGTAAACATTGTTCGCTCAGGGGGCCAAGTGAGTCTTGGTTTAGGTGACACAGTGATGGAGTTCTTCGGTTTCCCAAGGAGGCTTCAGGGTTCCAGTCCCAATGGACAGCATGTGGCCACAAAATGAATACGATTTTGCCACAAAATTTAGAATTTTTTTGTCTTTTTTTTTTTTTTTTTTTTGGTGAGACCCTCGCCAGTGGCCAGGGATCAAACTGGTGCTGCAAAGGCTGCGGGCAGCCTCACAACACAGCGCTCAACCGCTGCGCCACCAGGGGAGGCCCTTTTTGTTATTTATGTAGTCTATCTATTTGAAGGAAGCAGGACTGTAGTTTCTAGGGAGGACACACTGAGAACAAGAAGTGTGTACCCTGTGATAATGCAGTAGCTGAGGAGCCATCAGTCACTCAGACAGCGAATCTAAAGTCTGGTGATTACTAACAGAGGAAATTCAGAGACTTATATGGAATTGGGGCTAGAGGAAAAGAGAAATGTAAAAGGGAGTAAAGATAGGTATATAGTATGTTTTCCCACAGAGGTCACTCACTATATTTTTGATATTCTATTGTATACAACATAGGGAAAATACAACATTGACTTGTTGAAATTAATTGCCCTTTTTTGTCCTCATTTCTTTTGTCTTTTGTGATACAGAAATGACTTGTAATTTTCTTAGATTACCAGTCATCTGTTGATAAATTCTGAATGCCATGTGAAACTCATCTAGTAATAGGATAATTTTTAAAGTGACTTAAGGTGGTGTTTTATTATCACAATTTTCATATCAACAGCTTACTTTATTTTTTCATTCCAGGGATTTTTTCAGTTAATGTGCAGTAAAAGCTGCTGTGTTTATTTCCATAAAATTTGTTGGAAAAAGTTTAAGAATTTAAAATATCCAGGTGAAAATGATCAGGTAGTATATCTGTTTTACCTTTAAAACTTAACTACAGTATTTTTCTACCATTTCCTCTTTCCCTTTCATTTCTTCTTATTTACATCCTTCCTCCTCCTTTTCTCCCTCCAGTTTTTTTTCCCTTTTTTTCCTGATACTTTTCTCATCACTCTTCTTTGTTCATCATTGCCATTTATTAAAAAGTTATTTATAGGGGATACTCAGGTAGTTGCTTTTTCTTAGTGATTACTGTTAATTTGTTCACTTCTCTTTAGAAGTTTAAAAATATGAATATTGTTGCATATATTCACATAGTGGACATGAAATCAAAGAAAAGAATTCCTTAAAAAACAGAAAGGAAAACTATACAATTTTAAGTCTAGCTTCTATTTTAAGGATAGAGAATAATGATACATTTTGTAGTTTTAAAAAATTTTATTTGTAATTATTTATAGTTACCTGAATTCATGTTACTAAGTTGATTTCTTTGCCACTAAAATTGAAGTAGAAATCTAAAGTCCAATTCTATATTAATTACTTTAGTGAACTAATGACCACACATTGGGTCTATGTTTCTTTCTAGAGTATTTACGTTGTACAAAGACAGAAAAATTTTATAAAGCAATTGTGGAGCAGCAGAGTATTGTATATGGAGTTGGGGGATCTGGGTTTAAGTCTAATTATTTTGAACTGGTAGTTTAACCACTGTAAGATTCATTTTTTTCTTAACCCTAAAGTGAGGATAGTAGTATATACTTCTCACAAGGTTGTTGTGAGAATGGACAGATTAAAAGAAACTTGCTTTGTGTACTGTAAAAGCCATTGTATAAAGCATTCACTTTTTAAAGCAGTGTATAAATACTTTTCACTTTCTTTAATTGTTATAATAATCAATATTGTTCAGCTTTAGAAAGAAAAGTAAAGGAAAGCTAAGTAACTTAGCAAGGCAAGGAAATGGCAAGGTCAGAATTCCTTTTCCCTGGAATTCATGTATTTGATAGAAATTCAGTATTCCATTTTTGCTCATACTTTATGACATTTTACTTGAAATTTCTTTCCCTTGTGGCAGCAAATACATTATAGGTTATAATATAGTTACATGAAGATTTTGAAGTAGACCTGGTGAGAGAGAAAAGCGTGATCAGCATTTTGAACAGGAAATCCATTGATCAATTGGACTATCTTTGAACAGCTGAGTCTCAAACCTTTATTTATATATATTTTACCATTTAGCAACATCTGTTTCTAACTCTAAATATAATCAGATTTTCACACCACTGATTTTTTTGTTTTTATATTTTTGTATTTTTATTGATAATTTATTGGTTTTTCTGTTGATAATTACAGAGTTTCAGTGGAAAAAAATGTTTGAAGGAAGGATGTACAGGTGACATGGTAAGGATGCTACAATGTGATGTACCTGGAATTGTTAAAATTTTGGTGAGTGTCTTTTACCTTTCTTCCTTTCCTTCACTAGAACAATAGCTTTGATTTCAAATAGATTTGGGAATCATAAAAATAGTATTCTAGTCATATTCTCTCTGGTGGTGACCAAGCTCTCTGAACTTTCTATTGCTTTGATTTCTCCAAAGTTGTATTTAAGTAGTTCTTAAGGGTAAGTTTTTTTTTTAATTGAGAGACACATATATCTGCATAAAGAAACAAAGCAAGCCATGCCTATACCAATGAGCAAAGTCTGTCATGAATTTAAAATAATATAATTCTGTGCCACCTAAGTGATTTTAAGATGTTCTGAAATTCATTTAGTCTATAAGTATCTTATCTGTAATAATATCTATATAAAAATCACATGCAGTATTTGCACATAAATGTGCTCAAATGGCATCCATTTTTTTAACTAGTGAAATCTTACTGAATTTTCAATTTATAAGTAAATATATGAGAATTATAACTATATTAGAATAATATTTCTTTAAACATACTGTTTTTGTGTTTTATATTTGGCATTTAATGTCTTTTTTTCAAATGTTAAGGCTAAAAGTAACAATAAAGAATTTCCAAAATTGAACTACTTTAGGGCTCTTTTTTTCTATCACTTGCAGTTTGAAGTTGTGAGAAAGGATGAATATATAACCATTGAAAATTTAGGAGCCAGGTAAGTTTCAAATAAAGTATTCTACTTTTTTTCTGAGCATGTATATATTTTTCAGTTGCTTCTTTTTTGTGTTTCTGTTGTTGCTGGAGCGCCAGTAAATTTAAAAAGTAGTACTAATTGTGTGAAAAATTGCACTTAATTGACATTTGTCCTCTCCTCTTTCCCCACTTTGTGTATATTTGAATTTTAAAGCAGGCAAGGAAAAATTATGTTTATATTTTTTGCCTTTAAGTATGAAAATCATCCTCTCCTGAAAAAGAAACTTGTTTTACAGTTATTTAAATTAGGTCATTGTGATATAAAATCTTTCTACTAGATTTCAAAACTCACACAGGCGTCTATCCTTGTCTGACAGTTATCACCATAGTTCCTACATATAAGAAATAAACACAGAAAACTGTATTGCAGAGCAATGTATAGTATAAGTTGGGACTTCATAGAGGTATAGAAGTTTCAATATAAAATGTTTCCATAGCCCATTGACTCTCCTTTTTTCCATTTAAAATATAAATGTCTAGCATTTTTCAGTCTACTAAATACATTGTATTGATAGCTAAGGCATCAGTTTTCCCATAGGAAATCCAAATCTTTTCAGCATATCTACAACTGGACTTTCAAACTTTCTTCCCAACTCTTGTCAGTACCTCTTTTTAAACTTGATTAATTCAACTTCCTAAATATATTTAGAAATGCTTACTAACATTTGCCCCCATACTTCCAGTAAACTTAATGAAGTTATATTATTTCTGAAACAGCTTGGAATTCTGAAACAGCTTCTAAATTTGTCTTTGTTTTTAGTCTTACCTTCCATCTTTTATTTATAATGCTGTCTAAAGCACTTTTCAAAATGAAAATTGGAATATATTACTTCTTTGCTTGAATATCTTCTAGATTCTTCTCATTGTTTATAATTAAGTTCACACTCCTTAGCTTGGCTCTTCAGTCACCTTGTTCCTGTTAAACTCACTATAACAAGTAAGTTCCTGTTAAACTCACTGTAACAAGAAACTCACTATAACAAGTGTCATTCTCTTGTCATTCACGTGTGTGTATGTGTATATATACATATATACACATATATGTATATATGTATACGTATACACACACACCTGTTAGATTGAGATTCTTTTAGTTTCTTGAGTGTGCCGTCAATTTTACCTCCAGGCCTTGCCTGGAATGCTCTATGCCTTTGCCTAGTTAAAACTTCTGGAAAGACTTACATCATGTATTCCCTCCACTTTCCCTATCAAATCATTTACTGACTTTTGTTATATTTTCTCAACTGTTTTCTCCATTTGACTAAAATGTTAATGGACTTTATCTTGCTTACTAGTATATATTTCCAGTACATAGCAAAGTACTTGGCACATAGCTGGTACCCAATAAATACACAACCGATGTAGAGAGTCAAAATTCCATTATTTTGCCATGAGTAGTATTACTTTTTTTATTGATAGGACGTTCACTTGTATATGAACTCTGAACTCTTTCTTGGATGGTGGTTCCATTATTAACTCAGTTTTCTTTTATCTTCACCGCATTGAGTCTGTGTTTCATAGCCAATCAGAGATGTAGCTAGAAAGAATTTGGAAATCTCTTGACAGTTTCTCTTCTGGGATTCCTCTTACCTTAGCAGCCATAATTCCATGGCTTCAATTTTCTGGTTTCTTTAGCCAAGAAGACTTTCTTCCCATCACATGACACTTAGCTCTTAGCTAAAAGCTCTAAGATTGGTGATTTTACTAATGTATTTCATGTGGTTGTGTTTGTTCCCCTCTCCTCTGAGCACATCCCCAGCAAAATGGTCTATTTCTGTCCAGTTGCCAACACTTTCAGGATTTTTTTTTAATTTACCCAGGCTTTATAGTTGTTTTCTGTGGGAGAATTTGATAACTATTAATAGTTCTTACCACGGAAAGTGGAAAAGTTAGTTTATGGGGTTTTATGAATAAAAACCTTTTTAAATCTTGAAATTCTTTGTTTTTATTAAAATGTACATAGAAAAATGTACACAAAATATAAATACAGAGATTAACAAATTGTAAAGCACTCTTGTGAGTTCCATTCAAAGCAGCAAATAGAATTTTGTGAGCACTTGAGAAATACTCGGCATGCCGCTTTTCCCAACTCTTTCTCCCTATATAACTGTCATCCTAACTAACTTTAATGGTAATCATTTCCTAGCTATTCTTTATAAATATACTTATTATAAATGCATTTCAAACACTGAAGTTTTTTGTAGGTCAATTTTTTCCAAGGTATAGTTCACATACAGTAAAATTCGCTCTTTAAAAAAACACATTTGGGGGCCTCCCTGGTGGCGCAGCGGTTGAGCTCTGGGTTGTGAAGCTGCCGCCAGCCTCTGCAGCACAGGTTCTATCCCCGGCCACTGGCAAGGGTCCCACATGGCGCGCAGACCTCTCCTGCTGCCCGCTGCTCCCCTCAGCAGTGTACTTCGGTCCTTCTGCCTATTCTGCTCTCTGCTCTGGCTCTGGTGAATTCTCTCACCCTCCCGCGCTTCTGACTGTATCCATGCTTGTATTAATAAATAAATAAATAAATCTGTAAAAAAAAGAAGAAGAAGAAGAAGCTAAAAAAAATAAAAATAAAAAAAAAACATTTGGAAATTTCTTTGTATATTTGTTTGCACCAAATATCTTTTGTAGTCATTCTCTTCCGTCAACTTTCAAACCCTGTTGTAACCTGTAATATTGCTTTATTCTGATTGTTCGATAGTAGGAAAGATTGTGTTTTTTTGCGTAGTATAATTCTTTTGAGAGTCATCCGTGCTGTTGCATATATCAGTAGTTTACTTTTGTTTGTTGCTGAATAATCTTTCATTGTATAGATCTACTACAATTTATTCACTCAACTGTTGACTTTTAAATTCTTACTGGATTTTGGCTCTTCCAAATAAAGCTGCTGTAAATGTTCACATGTTACTCTTTCTGTAGACATTTGCTTTGGGTAAATTCCTAGGAGCAGGATTTCAGAATCATATAGTATGTGTTTAATGTTAGAAGAAACTGTTAAACTGCTTTCAAAGTAACTGTACATTTTGTTATTCTCACCAGCAGTATTGGAGAATTCTAGTTTTTCTGCATTCTCTGTAGTACTTGGTATTATCAATTTAAGAAATTTCAGGTGTACAGTATTTTATTGTGATTGAATTTGTATTTGCATAATGGTAATGAGTGAACGTATTTTCATGTATTCATTTGCCACCTGTGTATCTTCTTTGGTGATTTATCTGTTCAGAATTTTGGCCCATTTTTTTCATTGGATTGTCTTATTTTGAGCTATTAGGTTTCTTCATATATTCTGGATACAAATGCTTTATCTAATATGTATTAAAATAATTTAGCCTACTGTTTTTTATTCTCTAAAAGGTATCTTTCAAACTGTAGAAATCAATGTCTATGAAATCAAAATTTTCAATTATTTATTTTATGCTTCATGCGTTGTGTCCCATTTAAGAAAATTTTGTCCAACCCCAAATCACAAGATTTTCTCCCGTATTTTTACATAAGGATCAACATTCACTCCATCCTATATGGATCCCTAGATGTTCTAGCACTATTTATCGAAAAGACCATCCTGTCCCTATTAAATTAGTTGGGCACCTTTGTTGAAAACTAATTGGTGCTACATTCATATATGTAGTCTATATCTGAAGTCATTTCTCTGTTCTGTTCATTTACATATGTTTGTTTACCAATATCATGCAATCTTAATTTCTAAAACTTTTGATTATCTTTTGAAATTACATGGTGTGTGTTCTCCAACTTTATTTTTCAAAATAGTATTTTCTAGTCTAAATCCTTTGCTATCCCATAAGTCTTAGAAATACAAATTCCTCCAAACTTCTTGCTAGTATTTTGATTTGGATTACATTTAATTTGATTAATTTGAGAATGATTTACAGCTTAGCAGTATTGAGGCTTTCCATGAATTAACATAATATAAAATTTTACTTAGCTAGTACTTTTTTTTTTTAATTTTCTCTCCTTTTTTTTTTTTCTTTTAAAGATTTATTTATTTATTTATTTATACAAGCACTGGGTACTGTCAGAAGCAGAAGCGAGGGAGGGTGAGAGAGATCACCAGAGCCAGAGTGGGGAGCAGTACAGGCTGAGTGATGAGATACACTGCAGAGGGGAGCAGTGGGTGGCAGGAGAGGTCTGCGCGCCGTGTGGGACCCTCACCCTGCGGCCGGGGATTGAACCAGTGCTGCAGAGGCTGTGGGCAGCTTCGCAGCCCAGCTCTCAACCTCTGTGCCACCAGGGGAGACCCTTAGCTAGTACTTTTTGATCTAAGAATCGTTTTGTAGTTTTCTGCAATCTAGTTATTTGTGTTATATAGAAATGGATTTATGCATATTGTATTTGTATCCTGTGACCTGATATTTAATAGCGTTAATATAATTTTGTAGATTCTTTGAAATTTTCTACAATTGATCATGTTATCTGATTTGTTCCTATCTATATGCTTTTTGTTTATTTTTCTTTATTTACTGCAATGGCTAGGTCCTCTGATTACAGTGTTGAAGATCAAGTGATGAGACTAGACATCTTTCCTTTCTCAGATCTTCAAATCTTCTGTTTTTAAATCATTTAATATGCTATATTAGCTATAGACTTTTTATAGATGATCATTTTCAGGTTGAGGACATTTTATTTTTCTGAAAATTTTTATCATAGATATTGAACTGATGCTTTTCTGTGCATGCATTGAGATAATCATTTGGTATTCTTTAATCTTACTGTGTTGAATTATATTAATTTATTTTCAAGTGCTGATTTAGCCTTGCTTCCCTGGGGTAAATACCAGCTGATCATGATCTATTCATGATCTATTTACAGACCTATGTTCCTTAACAACTGGGATATATTCTGATAAATGTGTCTTTAGGGGATTTCATCATGTGAATGTCATAGAGTGACTTACATAAGCCTAGATGGTATGGCTTTCTACATACCTATGCTATACATATACACACATGTATATATATAAATATGTGTGTGTGTGTGTATAGGCCTAGGTCATGTATATGTTATTGATCAAAACATTATGTAGAATGTTGTATTATTATGTAGAATGTTATATTATTATGTAGAATGTGACTTTTTTTTATATTGCTGCTGGGTTTTTTTTTTATTGGCTATAGCTAACATATAACACTGTAAGTGACTATAACACTGTAAGTATAAGGTATACAGTATGGTGATTTGATAAATGTAAATATTATGAAACTATTAGCACAATAAGATTAACGCATCTATCACCTCTCATAGTTAATATATCTTTTGCCATGTACTTCTCGGTACTTAAGCCTTACCCTCAGATTCTGGGATTTCATAAAGTTCTCCTGTGTATGGATCATTGCTAGTTGGTCTTGTGGGAGGGACTGAAGTCTAGAATGGCCTATCTTGATATCACTCCACCATACTGGTGGTATTAAAGAATTTGTTCATAACAGTTTTTAAAATGATAAGGCAGACTTTATTCAGAAATATCATGATAGGTATAGGGACTGATACAATGGGGTTTTGCTATAGGGGAGTGATGGGAATTTATAATTAAGCAGTGGGGTGGGTATCAGTGGGTGGAAAATTACAAAGAAGAACCATCAGAGGTGATTCTTTGCTAAAATAACTTAACAATATTTTTGCTCAAAGTAGATAGGATAATTATGTATTATTTGGAGGCTGATAAACGTAAGCATAATTCAGTTTTTTCTGTTTTAAACTTCATATACATTTAAACATTTATTTTTTATGCTTTTTAACTATTCATTGCTTCTTATTCATTCTTACTGTTGTTACAGTTTTTCATTTAGTTGCTCTAATTTTATTGCAGGACTATACTACTTTAATTATTCTACTGTTAATAAATGATATGTGTGTTATTTCCAATATTAAGCTTTAACAACAGTACTACAATGAACATTTCTGTACAGTTATATTTGTGCAGAAAATTTTCCAGAAAATATAAACTTGTCGGGCCATCTATGCATCTCTTCAACTAAATTGTTGCCCACAGTGGTATTAACACTTACACTCCTACCAGTACTTTAGGAGAATTCCTTTTACTCAGTATCTTTGTCAATATTTAATATTATTAGAATTTAATATATTTCCAATGCAGTGAATGTTTATCACTGTTACGGTGCTGCTGGAGTTGATGACAACTACCAGCATCTATGTTTATTAAGCTTACATTCTAGTATTGTCCATTTATTTTATTTCCTGAAAGAGTTCTCATTTCAAAGTTGAGCCACAAGTCTCTTCATGTTTCATAGCAACGCTTACCTGGTATTTAGTCTATTTAATAAACATTGTCACTTTTCCCTCCATTTCCCCCTAACAATTTGCATTAATAGATATCAATTTTTTCTTTCTTTTTTAAAATTACTAATCACTAAATGAGTTAAATTTTCTTGGAATATTTATTAGTAAAGAGAGTCTATGGTAGAGGATAGCCTGGGAAGAGGTCCAGTTTTGCTGTTTTTGTATTTATTTTTTTTAACCACACAGCCTTCTTGTAAATAAACTAATCATGAATATTTTTTGTGTGAAGTTTAGCAATTTTACTTGCCTTTCTAACTCTAATCAAAATGACTTTATGGGCTTGTCAGTATTGGTAGTTTTTGTTTGTTCTTTTATTTTCTTCGTTTTTAAATTCTTTCCAGGAATTGGAACAAAAGGAGAAGAAAATGCTCAATTAGCCATGTTGGTACCTGAAATCTTGACTGACTTTGGCATTGACTGTAACAATTTTTTTTCCACTTGCAGTTATAAAAAGTTGATGTCTCTGAAAATAACTGATACCGATATAAGACCGAAGATCAGTTTAAAATTTAGTGGAAAAGGTATTTATTTTCATATATCTCCTATTGAAAAGTTTGTTAAAATTTTTGAGTTGCTCTGTCAAGTGTCATGCCTTTAATAACCAGGTGTTTACATGTGTTTGTAATTCACTGGCCTTACACTAGCAAGCATCACTTGCTGTAGCCTAGAATTTATGGACGGAAAGTTCAGCAGGTGTGTGGGTCTCACATACCATCACATCCTATAGAAAGGCCTTCTAGGTTCAGTATGTAACTGTGACTATAGAATGAGGTTGTTCCTCATCAATCCTCCTCCTTTGTATCATTCCCTATTGATGGAGTAAATTGGAAGAAATGGACATTATAGGCTTAAGGCCAAGTAATATAAGTTTAGGAGCCAGCTATTTAGTGTGTTAGAAAATGCCAGCTCTCAGCACTTGGAGACCTTAAGGGATCCTCTGTCCATGGAAGAATAGTTTGGTGGCAGTATTTCTTGCTAGGAGGGAAAATAATGTACCTCATCCCAGCCAGCTCTTTATTGGCAACTCAGAGAAAACCCTCTGGGTCATTTACCTTATGGCCTTACTTGCCTAAACGGTGTATGTCAAGTTCGTCAAACAAAAATATTCATTTAAAAATCTCTTCAAACAGAATCATGAAGAATAATGTTGAATTTTTATTTTTGATATTTACACAAAAATATGACATCATATACCATATTTTTTACTACTTTCTAATTAACCTTATATACTTTCTTCCTTTAAAAGTGCAGCCAACGCAGAAAAATACTAAATATCAAACTCATGCCTTATTCCATTTCCTTGATGAAATACCTTCTTCATCATTAATTTATATTTTTTGAGATGATAAGAACATGATGTTCATGAGATTATTGTGTTTCAAAATTTAGTATTTATTGGAATCATCTGATGACTTTGTTAAAATATAAGTGCCAATTCAATAGCTCTAGAATGGGGCCTGAGAGTCTGCATTTCTACCAGACTCCCATATGGATGCTGATGCTGCTGGTCCATGAACTCTATTTGACATTGAAAGGAATATATCACTTTATGTTTCTTGATATAATTGTGCATTGTCTAATAAGGTAGCTAGCCATATGTAACTATTTAGTTTAAATTAACTAAAATTAGATAAAACTTCAGATTTAATTCTTTTATCAGACAAAAAGCATTTCCATTGTCCAGTGGCTAATAGATAGTTCAAAGGTAAAATATTTTCACTACAGAAAATATGATAGTATCTGTGAGACAGTGCTAATTAAGATAAAATATAATTGCCCACTTAAAGTATAATTAAACACTGGCAGTTACCATTCTTGAAAGTCTTGAATTTCCAAAGGCCTAATACTTTCATCCCACTTGTTCAGTAAATGAATAAAACCCTGGTTGGTTGAGAGACTTATATGGTAATTAGTCTTTTTGATTACTTTTGATTGGGAACACATTGTTTTCATCTGGATTTTCTGACAATTAGACAGTAGCATGCTGTTGAGCACTGAGTATGGCATAGCACTGTTCTATATTTGATTCTTTTGGAATAGTCCCTCTCCTACAGAAGTTTAGAATGTAATGTAGGAGATCACATAGAGAAAGAGCATTAATGTGAAATGTTTTCACTTTTTAAAATTCATTTTCAGATGAAATGCCTATCTTCAAACTTGATTATAATTATTTCTATCATCTGCTTCATATAATTATTATTTCTGGTACTGACATTGTCCGGCAAATATTTGATGAGGCTATACCACCCCCTCTTTTGAAAAGAGAGCTTCTTATACACAAGAATGTGCTGGAACCCTACTACAACCATCTCTGGACCAATCACCCCTTGGGTGGAGCATGGCATCTGCTTTATCCCCCAAACAAGGAGCTTCCACAGTCCAAACAGTTTGACTTATACCTCTTATTAGCACTCATAAAACATTTGAACGTATTCCCTGCACCCAAAAAGGGCTGGAGTATGGAACCACCATCTTCTGATCTCTCTAAGTCTGCAGACATCCTGAGGCTGTGCAAATACAGGGACATCCTCCTTAGTGAGATTTTGATGAATGGTCTCACTGAGTCACAATTCAATTCAATTTGGAAAAAAGTTTCAGATATTCTTCTGCGCCTTGGGATGAAGCAAGAGGATATTGACAAAGTGAAGGAGAATCCTATTGAGAATCTCTCTCTTGATTACCATCAGCTGTCCATCTACCTAGGCATACCAGTACCAGAAATCATCCAGAGGATGTTATCCTGCTATCAACAAGGTACACAATAATTACTTACTTCAGCCAGTAAACTGAGTGTCTGCTTTGTACCAGACACAGTGCTAAGTGCAGGATATTTAGTAACTCACATTCTTGGGAAATTAAACTTATCAAGAAGCTAATAGAAATTACAGTGCTAGAGATATTTCTAGAACACCATGAGAAATCCTGGCTCAAAAGTGTCCTGAAAGCCTGGAAAATATAATATGTAAGGAATTCTTAAATAACATGTAAAAGTTAGTCAAGTGAAGAAGATGGAGAAGGATGTTTCAGAAGGAATCAAGAACAAAGGTATAGAAACAAAAACATACTATAATGCAGGGAACTGAAAAATTTGACCTTAACAGAGTAAACTAGGAAGAATTTATAGAGAAAATACATTCAAGAGGACGTCTCTTGCCTTTTGAGTTTTGTTTTCAGAAAGGAATTGTGGAAGAATTTAGGTAGAGGTGCTTTATCACTTGTAGAAATTAACAGTGCCTTAAAATCATGAAATACAGATATAGTATGTTTCAAGGATTTTTAGACACATTGGGTTATGTTTCTCTTCCTTTCTAGCAGAACCTTAACATTTAAAAATTTGTTAAATAGGGCCTCCCCAGTGGCGCAGCAGTTGAGCGCTGAGTTGCGAAGCTGCCTGCAGCTTCTGCAGCGCCAGTTCGATCCCTGGCTGTTCCCCGGCCACCGGAGGAGGGTCCTGCATGGCACGCAGACCTCTCCTGCCGCCCGCTGCTCCCCTCAGCAGCGTACTTTGGTCCTTCTGCCTGCTCTGCTGCCTGCTCTGGCTCTGGTGAATTCTCTCATCCTCCCGCACTTCTGACTGTACCCAGTGCTTGTATAAATAAATAAATAAATCTTTTAAAAAAAAAAAAAATAAAAATTTGTAAAATGACAGCTATTGTTATGTGTAATTAAAAAAAATTAGATTGATCTTTATGCAAGTGTCTAAGATCAGCAGTGGCCATTCCCAGACACTGCCTGTTGATATAAGAAAGACTTCAGACACCCTTTCTTGCATTACAGGATAGTTTCTCAGCTGTCATGGGAAGTGAACTGAAGGTATGTCAGCAATTTTTAAAGCCTTGCTGTAGTGTGCTAGGTATCTTTTCCTGGTCCTAAAGGTCCTAAGTTATTAGTCATATTTCCGAGGGAGCAAATGATAACCACACTGAAGTTATATTTTAAATATACAACTTCCCACATTTCTATTAATTATTGAAAAGATCCAGATTTTCTTCAGAGATAATTCAGGTCTTTTGCTAAACCTCTGGGTTACTATTGCTTCCATCTTTTCCCCTGCCTAGCCTTTAAGAGCTTTCTTTGCACATAAAAAGCATGATGATACATGAAATCTGGCAAAAGCTTTTTTTTTTTTAAAGATTTATTTATTTATTTATACAAGCACTGGGTACAGTCAGAAGCGCAGGAGGGTGAGACAATTCACCAGAGCCAGAGCAGGGAGCAGAGCAGGCAGACCGACGAAGTGCACTGCTGAGGGGAGCAGCAGGGGGCAGGAGAGGTCTGCAAGCTATGTGGGACCCTCACTGGTAGCTGAGGATTGAACTGGCGCTGCAGAGGCTGGGGGCAGCTTTTCAGCCCAGCACTCAACCGCTAAGCCACCAGGGGAGGCCTCTCTGGCAAAAGCTTTTGACTTGTAAATTGGAGGATTTTTTTTTTTTACATTTGCTCTATTTAGATTAAATAACATACTCAGGATAAAGGTAATATTTGGAAAGTGCTTTGAGCACTAAATAAATTCAAGGCATTTCAAACAATTCTCATTCAAGTAGTCTGAAGAGCTTATTGGTCATTTCCCTTTAATAGAGGCTTGTTTCTTTATAAGTGCATCTATATCTTAAATATCTTCCCTAGCTATTACAGTTATGTTTTTTATTTGTATATCTGAGTTTTTGACTTATAGCCATTGTCTCCACTAATCTGTACAAAGGTGGTCTTTTTGTCCCCCACCACTTAACCTCCAGACCTAACACATCCTGATAAACTGTGAGTGCTTAATAAATACCAATGAGGAGAAGGAGTGCTGGTACACATAAATTCATATTCCTACAAAGACTTAAACTTTCAATGGAGGTTTGCTTGACTATTTAATTGACTATTCATGACCTTGGACTTGTAAATCATAAGAATTTGCTGCTTGATTTAAAGTGCATACATTCTGGGCATTATCTACTATGAACTCTCAAAATTTTATTTACTTTTCTTTCTCTAATTATAGACTTTATTATCTTTATGTTAAAATTGAAAGATTATACCTTGTTTAATCTGGCTTTGTGAGTGAAGTTTGTTATTTTTACAGTTACAAAATTGGCGCAGTAAAAATCTTTTGACTTTTCTTAGTCCCAGGCAGATATTTGTTGGTTGCATTTGCAATTATATATCTAAATTTTTTTCTTTGTGCATTATAGGAATTGCTCTACAGTCAATAACAGGCAGTCAACGTAAGTATACTTAAAAACAAAATTCTTACATAAACTTTCAACTTGGGATGCTTAAAAGATACCAGCAGTAGTTTTATTTGCTCAGATAAACTATTAAATATAATGAGTCACTAAAGCTTTGCAGATCATATTGCTTAAGTTCTACTGGTCAGCTGAATTTACTATGAACCTCTTTACTCTACTTTGTCCTAATGTGTGTTCCCCAGCATTTACTTAAAGGCACTATTTTAACTTTTTGACACAGGACACTTCAACAGGTTAAAACCCCGGCTTTTTTCTACCTGCTCATATGATACTCTTAACTTATGTAGCTTTTATCTGGTTAACTACACATTGTTAGGCTATATACTTTTTTGCTGGGTCATGAAATGTTAATTTTTAAATTTCCATTTTTGTGGTTTTTTTTAAAAAAAAGTTACTTATTTTACAATTAAAATTATACTTAAAAAGCCACATTATGGGTTTTGTTTGGAATAAAATTATTCTTTAAAAAAAAAACTGATACCACCTACTAGAACAAAAACAGACACACAGACCAAGAATCAAATAGAAAACCCAGAAATAAATCCACATATTTATGGGCAACTAATCTTTGAAGGAGCAAAGAATATGCGGTGGAACAAGGACAGTCTGTTCAATAAATGGTGCTGGGAAAACTGGACTGCTAGACAATTTTGAAAATTGAAGCTAGACTACTACCTCTCACCATGCACAAAAACCAACTTAAAATGGATAAAAGAATTGGACATAAGACCTGAAGCCATAAAATATATAGAAGAAAATATAGGCAAAACACTACATGATATACAACTCAGTGACATCTTTAGACACATCCCCCAAAGCAAAGAAAGTGAAGGAAAAGATGAACAGCTGGGACTACATCAAACCAAAAAGTTTCTGTACAGCAAAAGAGACATTCATCAAAACAAAAAGATACCCTACTGATAGGGAGAAAATTTTTGCACACAATTCTACTGATAAGGGACTGATCACAAAGATCTACAAAGAGCTGAAACAGCTCACAAGAACAAAGTAAACAATCCTGTCAAAAAATGGGCAGAAGAGCTAAAAGGACACTTCACCAAAGAAGAAATGAAACTGGCCAACAGGTATATGAAAAAATGTTCACCATCACTGTAATCAGGGAAATGCAAATCAAAACCACAATAAGATACCACCTTATACCAGTGAGAATGGCATATATCAAAAAAACAGGCAACTACAAATGTTGGCGAGGATGTGGAGAAAAAAAACAACTCTCCTACACTACTTGTGGGAATGCAAACTGATCCAACCACTTGGAAAGCTGTGCAGGGTGGGGGATTCCTCAAACTACTAAAAATGGAGCTTCCATATGACTCAGCAATTCTATTCCTAGGAATCTACCCAAAGGACACAAAAACATTTAATTCAAAAGGATACCTGCATCCCTATGTTTATTGTAACATGTTTTATAATAGGTATGATATGGAAACAACTCAAATGCCCAAAATAGATGACTGGATCAAGAAGATGTAGTATATATACACAATGGAATATTACTCAGCAATCAAACAAATAAATGCATGCCATCGCAGTAACAGGAATGGAGCTGGAAGGGATTATATTCAGTGAAATAAGCCAGAAAGAAAAGAAAAATATTGGATGGTTTCACTTATAGGAGGAATGTATGGGAACAAAATAAAGAATCGGGGGGAAAAAGAATTATAATAAATTAAGAAATAAAATTAACAGGCAACCATAAATCAGAGACATTCTGCGGGGAGTGGGGGAGAAGGAGTAAAGAGGGGAGGGAAGAGCACAAGGGACTATGGTGATGGTGCACAGGTGAATTGGTGGTGGGAATTATTTGGGGACTACACCTTAGAGGAGAAAGCAAACATTGTACAAAAAAGAAGAATGATGTAAAATATGAATAAAATAAAATTTAAAAAATAATAAAAGAAAATTAAATGAGGGGGAAATAAAACCTGATACTATGGGTTTTGTTTGGACCATCTGTAACCAGTTAGATGAAATCCACAAGTTTTGATATTGAATCTCTGGGGCAGTGTCATGGGACATGGTGCCAGAAAAGAGGTCATATGTAGGGGACTAATACCCATTCAGACCTTTGGCTATGAAAAAGAAGAAAAAAGGAAAAAAATAGATCTTCTAGCTTTTTGTTTTTTATGTTCTAAAATAATACTAATTGCGTTATTAATGGAGTCAATGTCTGGTTTAAAAACTTAGTATTTAGAAACTTAGTATTAAGTTCTGGAGTATCTAGTACTAGAGTCCACTTAAGATCATAGAAAAATACCTTAGCATTTGCATTTATACTAATTAACTCCAAGCTAGTATATGCACATATTATTTGATCATTTATAATCGGGCTTTTCATTTTGACCCTAGTATTTCTATTTCTGGGATAGTGTTTTGAAGTTAATTTTTAAAGTAAATTTATTTATAATAGTGATAAAAGATTAAAAGTGTGTGTCCATATTTTGAATATTTTGTCTTTATATTTAGGTATTGAAATAGAAGAGTTACAGAATGAAGAAGAATTAAGTCCACCTCTCATGGAGTACAACATAAATGTGAAATCAAATCCTGAAATACAGCTAGCAGAAATGAATAAAGATGAGGCATCAATACCCAGTGAATCTTCAACAGAATCTATTAAAGATCTCCAGGAAGTATAAGCTCTCATTAATATTTTAATTAGAAGAACATAGTCAGGGCCTTTATTTTCCTGCATGTGCTATACTTAAATTATCTTGGACAATCTTAGTTTATATTTAGCATAGTATTCACATAGAACTTGAATTGGAATAGTTCCCCAGTACTTACTTCCATAATCTTTCCTGACTTAACCATCTAATTTGCCAACATTTTTTGAATGCCTTTTATGTGTGAGGCATTAAGCTAGATTTATGAACATGTTTCTTCATCCTAAGTGATAGGAGTAAATGAGGGAGGTTAATAGGAAAAAGAAGAAAGCATAGTGAGGAATAGAAGAAGGAAGAAAATAATACTTAAATGTCATTTGCATAAAGGTAAAATTTAAATTATTCAGGATGGACTGTATATTTCTTTATGGATAAGTGGTCACATTTAATATAGTCACTAAATTCTTCATAGGTTTAATTTTTCACCTGTGTAACCGAACATGTTGATTTTTAAGAAGTGCATTACTCTTTTACTCATGTATGCACATGTACAAGTGAAGATCTATGAGCTTTTTTCACTGACATTATATATTGTCTCTTTATACATCGATGATTTCTTCAGAAGACTGAGGTTAAAGTAAAAATTAAAATGAAATTTTCTGTAGAATTATGGAAATATTAGAAGATGTCAGTGGTTAAAAGAAATGTATTTTGCAAAATAACTCATTGTTCAGTTTGAATTGCATATTAAATAAATTATTTATTTCTTACCTTTCAGGTTAAGAGTAAACAAAAGAAAAAGAAAAAGACTAAGAATAGAAAGGTAAGGGACTGTATTAGCATTATAATAGGTGGATATATGATTATGGATACTTAGATTTCAGACATGGCTTCACTGTTAGAATTTAAAATTAGTCCAAATAAAATTAGTCCAAATAGACATAGTATAAATGACTTATCCATAACAATAGCTTATTGAATCTATGAGTAGAGAGAAATCCATGTATGTTAGATCTTGAATGATTTAAACTTGTGCTGTGCCCTACTTTACTTCCCTAAATCAAAATTTGTACACTTAACTATACAAATAAAGAAACTGAGTTAGTTTCTTGGGGATTTCATTAATTTCTGCATACCACTCTCACTTTAAAAATGCCTATTCAGTGTTTTAAAAGTAAATTCTCATCATATTGTTACTGATATATTCCGAAGTATTTTTCAAGACCTTAAGAAATTTTAATTTTCTTCTTTGTGTCAAAGACGCTGCCAAAAATGCAGTAGTGTACAAAAATGGTAAAAATGCAAGAAGCTTCTTTCATGCATCTTCCTTGCTTTGTGCCAGTTGGAAAATGAAGAATTTACTAACAGTAGCACTGTTTGAGGAAGGTTTGTTAATTACCTGGAAAATTACAGAGGAAAGTCATGTGGGATGGGGGGCACGGAAGGATGCTTTTTTTTTTTTTTGCATTTTTTTCCATTCACAGCACAGTTGAGGGGAAGATATAGAGATTTCCTATACACACCCATCCTTCTTATATACCATCTTTCCCCATTATCAACATCCCCCAGCAGAGTAGTACAGTCATTATACTGATGGACACCCACTTTGATGTATCATGATCACCCAAAGTCCATACTTTACAATTTGGTTCATTCTTGATGTTGCACATTCCTATGGATTTGGACTCCATGGATTTAGATTTGGGTATTTTTTTTTTTAATCAAATATAGTTAACCACTATGCTGTGTAAACTTTTGGTTAAAAAAAAAAAAAAGTTTTTGCCCTGAAACATATATTTAAAATCTTAACACTGAGTAGATAAATTTTTACAAACTGAGTGAGAATATTTGTCAACTACAATCTGGTATCCCATGTTTTTAGTCATTTCAAAGAATATATAATTTTAATCATAAATAAAATTGAAGATAATGAAGGTAAATGTATAAAATATATACTTATTGAGGTCAAGAACAAAGTAATTATATGCTAATCAATAAAATGTCAGTATCATTTTCATATTTGTCATAATCATGTTATAACTTTTGAAAATTAAATTTTGTTTTTAAAAGAGATACCATTTTTTCTTTTAGACAGTTCTTGTCTGATAAAGTGCAGCCTAGTTTGTTAGGTTAGCTGGTATTTTTCATTTTTGCCAAAACATTAGTAATTCTCTGTTCTAATACTACATAATGCTGGCACAGGAAATCTACAGCTGTCAGACCACAAATCTGAGTTCCAAGAGTAGGTACTGTTTGTCTTTATTTCCAAAAAAGTTAAAATATGGTAATACTCAGATTCCAAATTTTTAACTAACTGGAAAGTTCTACTTTTATATATAATTGGAATTAAACAGGTAATAAACACAACTGGAAATAAATGTAAATATCATTCAAAAATTCATATGCTAATAATATTACATATTATTATACCCCACATAGATGGGCCATAAGAACAGGGGGTTTGATGGAAGGAAGAAAAAATGTATACAGTAATGCTCTCCAGGATATGACCATCTGGGTTTATGAATCTTACAAAGAAGTAACAGTAAGAAGGTCTTAATAAATATTTACAAGATCTCATTTAATTGAGGTTTCTGAGACATACTAATTTTTTGATTTAAGCCAAATGAGTTTGTAATTAAAAAGACATGAGTAAATTTTATGATCACTTCTAACCTGGGTTTATATGTTCCAGTGAATTAGGGGCAGAGATCACTGACAATACTCTTCTCAGAATTTCTCTTGGGTGGGAAAAAAAGGAATAGAAAAGTGAGGTAAAGCAGATGAGAGCCTTTTTATGAAGTCTTGGGGAGAAAAGAAACATGGCAAAAAATAAACTAAATCCTTTGAATTGGATATCCTCTCTATAGAAGGAACGTTACTAAGATGTAAGAAAAATTTGCAGATATACTGGCATGACACTGTCATGGGAAGAACTAAAAGAGAGTTTCAGAAATACTTAACTATACTAGTTATGTTCCTTATGAACTAAAGGCCTTTTCAACTCATTTAAGTACACAGTTATATAACCAATTTAAGAACCAAGGCAGAGTCAACTCTAATTTGTAGAATTAAATTGGTACTGAGTATTAATCAGACACTGAAATGCAAAATTCTTAGTGTATGGAAAATAATGTAAAATGAATTTGTAAGTACATCATGGAATCTGTGGGGAAGGAGACCCAGAAGTTAGTTATAAACAAGAGGTGGTAGTAGAAATTAATGCTATAATTTACATGAGTAATTAATACTGTTAACATATGTTAAGTGTAACTTTATTTAGTATGCTGTCCTTATATTTTAATGAACAAAAATTAAGGCTTTTTGAAATTTTCTTCCACTTGTCATCTCCCTAACATTTATTTTTTTCTGTAAGATTCTTAATATTTAAATCTACTTTTTCCTTATATGCAGGTTTTTCAGAACTCTTGTAGTTAGTATAGGATTCCCTAAATGAGAATGACATATACCCTGTCCCAAGATATACCTAGGTTCACAGAGCCCAGTACTCACTTTGAATATCTGAATTGATTTTCAAATTTCGTTTCATGACTCAGAAGTATATTGCAAAATCTGCTTAGTGGGTCACACTGCCATTTAAATAAGGAAATAGAATTAGTAGGAATAAGAAATAATCCAGAGTTCACCACAAATTGTCTTACTCAGTTTGGGCTGCTGTGGCAAACTACGATAGACTGGGTGGCTTAAACAACAAACATTTATTTTTCACAGTTCTGGAGGCTGGAAAGTCCAAGATCAAGGTGCCAGCAGATTTCGTGTCTGGTGAGGGACTGCTTCTTAGTTAACAGACGGCTACCTTCTTGTGTCATCACATGACGGGGAGAAAAAGAGAGAGAGAGAGAGGACACTAATCTCATCATGAGGACTCCACAACATCATCTAAACCTAATTTAACCTCCCAATTGCCCTTCTTCCAATTACCATCACATTGGGTTAGGATTTCAACATAAACTTTGGGGGGGGGTGCACATAAATATGCAGTCCATATACAGATAATTTGGGTTGGGTAAGGTTTATTTTTTGGAACTTCTATTTCCAACACATATGTATATGTAAAGACACACATGTTTATGTATGTGAGTGCATTTATATCATGACATAAAATATATTTTTTATTTTGGTTATAGTCAAAAAGTTTGATAAACATTGGCCTGAATACACAGTCAGGTCACTGTGCTGTATTGACATTAGATCACTAATTCTCGGTGCAATTTTTTCCCCCAGAATAAAGAATCAACAGAAGAGCAAGTGTGAGTATTAGTATATTTAATTTTTTTGCAATAAATTGAAAAGTGTGCTTTGCCACTGTGACACAGCTGTACCTCTGGAAGCAGTCTCTCTAAGAGAGGAAAGATGGTTCCTTTTCTTTTTAATTGCCGCCTTTTTACAGTAAATGACAAAGAGTTAACATTTACTTTGGGGGAACAGAATTTCTCTCCATTTCTTTTCGGTTTACTCAAGAGTCATCTACTGCTAACTACTTTTTTCAAGGGCTAATTTGGGTCTAGTTTAAAATCTTTAATAGTATAGATTATGTAATGTAGATTATGGTTAGTCAATCTAGGCCATATAAGATTTAACCTTTAAGGGACGATCCTTTTTTGTCCCCATGATCTCTTTTACAAAAAAAGTTTGTTTTGATTTGGTTTGGTTAATTAACCTGAGGATTTTTCTTTTTTCAATCCCAGTTGTTAATAGTATCATTTTTTAACTTAATGGAAACATTTTAATTTCTAATGATTCATTATAAAACATGGTAACAGAACATACATTGTTAACTTTAACAAAACATCACCTATAGTTGATATTTTTTCATTAATAGTGAACTCAATCTACTTAATGAGTAAAATAGTTCATCATCCAAAGATGGGCTTTCGCTTTCTCTGTGAACAAACTGAGCCTCTAAAGTCTTGTGGTTCTGAGTTACTAAAATTCATGTTATCAGTACAGTATTTATTAAAGTCCAGTTTAAAAAAAAATCTCCATTCTAAAATCTACTTCATGTTGCTATCTTCAGCCCTCTGTTTAAATGTACACTGACCATAAGTACTGAAGTTGAGTAAACCAACCTACCTGCCAAGAATGTTGTAGTAACATATTTCAGATGTAGAAATGTATTTCTCAAAGTAACATATTAATAAAATTTGGTCTCATAATTCTTGAAAACATTGAGATGAACAGATGGTCTTGACTATCTCAAATTTGCCAAAATTCATTGTGAATCTTTAAGAGAAATAGGATGAGCTTTATCCAAACTTTCTTTGCCCATGAACTCATCTGGTGATAAGCACCTCATGAGACTGTTATGATGTCAATTTGTGAAACAATGACTTAGATGTAAATCACTATACATTTATAAAAGATCACATTGATTTTGTCATCGCTACAGCCCACTTATGGTAGGAAAGGAAGAGCAGTTGAAGAAAGAGCAAGCAAACCTATACCCAGTCAACAGATTTATGAATGATGATGCAAGTGATATTCAAGAAGACTCTGCAACTGAAGACAAGCTGTACAGCCTGGATGAATTGCATATTCTGGACATGTTAGAGCAGGTAAGCCTGATTGGTGGTGGGTACAGCCCTGCATGCCTTCTTCCAAAACAATTATTAACCTTTGTTTCCCCTGTCTCTCGAAAGCATGTTACCCTAGTGACTTATTTTGTTTTTGAGAAAGAGAAAACAAAAAGGGAAGGGACAGCTGGATAAATAAGGGGAAAAATAACCTAGGAGCTGGAAACTTTTCATTTTAGTCCTGAAGAGTTTTCAAATACCACAAGAAAAAAAAAAATAGCCTGGCATAATCTCATTGCTTAAATTTCATGAGTAAATTAGTTTTATAAAGCAATGCAACTTTCATTTTAAAAAATGAAAGCTGGTTGTTACCATGAAATTTTTATAAAAAATTACTGTACAATAATTTTTTTCTTTGATTCCTTTCCTACCAGTAGTCATTGCTGGGAACGGTATACCTATATGTGAAGATTCAAAGGGACATGATTTAAGTGCTCAATAAAGCACTTACTCAGACTAGCATATAAAAAAATTTTAAGCCACTTGATTTATCTACTCATGAGATTCTGTACTTAAGGTAATTTTATGACCTGTTTCATGGTTTAAATATAATTGTATGTAGAAATATTGATTGTCTAAGGGTAGAGTTAACGCAAATTATTGCCTGGCTGATAGTACAACATTCATGCAATTATCATATCTTTTTTTCTCCGTTCCAATTATATTAGACTATATGTATGTATATGTGTATACATATAGCCTAATATATATATATATATATATATATAACATATATATGTATGAACTGAAATCACTTATTCTCTTTTTTTAGATTTATTTATTTATGCATACAAGAACTGGGGTACAGACCAGAGGTGGGGGGGTGAGAGGATTCACCAGAGACAGAGTAGGGAACAGAACAGGCGGATTGATTGAATACAATACTGAGGGGAGCAGTGGGTGAGTCAGGAGAGGTCTGCTGCGCCATGTGAATAGCTCCCTGGCTGGGGATCGAACACGTGCTGCAGCAGCTGTCAGCTTCATAAGTTACGTCTGAACCTCTTGTGCCACCAGGGAGGCCCCATGAAATGACTTATTCTTATCCCAGAATGTTTACTAAAATTTAAATGTGGGACCTTTGGTTTTCATTCAGTGACTATCAGACTATAAGAATTCAAAAATGGTTTCAAAATATCACATACCTCTTGAGAAATGTTTATTTGTTCATTTATTCAAAAAATAAACAACACCTGCTTTGTCTCAAGAGCTATGCTAAGACATGCTCGCTGTAATTATAATATTTATAATCCAGTGGAGAAACTGGACATTAAACTTAAGTGATAGTTTAATAAGTAAATACATTTAAATAATTAAGTGTTTCGGCAATTAAGATTGCCTAAGTTAGAATTTAGGCTCCTTAGCTCAGTGGACTATGGTAGAGGACTACTGGTGCTTTGATGTAGGTGTGATATGATAACAACACCTACAAAGGGGGGTGGAGATCCTGTACCTCTAAAACAAAATCAAAGTTGTAAATCAGTGTTACCTCAATTAAAAAAAACTTGAAAACCTCTAAAAATTAAAAAATATATATATTCAGAATCCTCTACTTACTGCCGTGTGAACTTGGGCAAGTTACTCAGTGTTATGATTTCTAAAATATTAATAATGAGTGTTTACCTCATATATTTCTTATGAAAATAAAATCATTACCAAAAAAATTAAAAAATGGAAAGCATGCAGGTAATGCTGTTCATCAGTAGCAGCAATAGGCAAGTAACTGTGGTATTGTCTAATGAGTGCTGTAATTGGGGAGAGGTGGATTTAACTAAACAAATCAGGGGAGTAATGTTTGCATTGAGACATAAAGCATGAGTAGGAGTTGGATGACAACTTTAAATAACTAAAATACTAGTTTTTTTCTTTGGAGGAATATAAGCATGCATATTCCATTTGCTCATTAGGGTTCAAGCAGCAAAGTAAATGCAGAATATGGAGAAACTGAGAAAGAAAAGCTTGATCGACAACGGCAGCTTTATAAATTGCACTATCAGTGTGAAGTAAGTATTTTTAATCTTAGGCAACTAAGAGGTAGTTTAAATGTTCAAGTTAATTGTTTTATTTTTAAAAGCATTCATTTTTTTCTTTCAATTTCTGGTGACTTGAAAAGAATTAATGGGAAAATTTTTCATTGACCAGGATTTCAAAAGACAATTGAAAACAATGACTTTTCGATGGCAAGAAAACCAAATGCAGATTAAAAAGAAAGACAAAATCATTGCATCACTTAACCAACAAGTGGCTTTTGGAATCAATAAAGTTTCCAAGTAAGTGTAAAACTGTTGATAGGAATTTCTGGGTTTGTTCCATAATGAACACAATTTTAGACAATCCCTCTATAGCCACTAGGTGGCATTATAACTGCGCATTAGGAACTGCAGACCACATGAGGCACTTGTTTTAAAACCTGCTATATTTTGAGGCACAACTCTATTTTATCAAGCTTTTCATGTATTGGATGAACAAGTGTAACAATAATAGAATTGCCTGAAAAAGGTAATTAACTTTTGGGTCATGACTGTAGGTTATGAAAATATGAACAATGAATGAATGGCTCTTTATAGCAAATGAGGAATACATTTCTCAAACATAACATGGAATCCCTTGAGTGCTTTTTAAGTTGGTCTCCTGGTATTTGTGTTCTAAGACTAAGAGATTGAAAGTATATTCAGAGAGATTCTTCCCCACCTCTACCAATCTCAATTCTCATAACCCTCAGTACTAACTGACTAAGGCTAAAATTTACTACTGAATAGGGAAAATGAGTAAACTGCTTTATTCTTTTTGTACTAATTACTATCTCTAACCAGTAGCAGAATTAGCAATACCACAAAATATCAGTAATCCATAAAGTATAATTTGAAATCCATTACTGTTCCTAGACTACTAGTAAAATAGGCAAATTTTAGGAAATATCTTAGGCTGTAGAGTCCAAGATACTAATTGTAAAATTGGAGAAATGTTTGGCAGAGATTTAAGTCTTAAATTTTCTCTTACATATGGTATCATTCAAGTGTGTGTGGAGGGGAGGGGCCTTGGCAACATAGTATCAATTATAAACACTTTCCAGCTAATGCATGCTGGAGTTAGGATCTTCAAGTTCAGAAGGGGGTAAACTAAAATATCTTGGGCAATCTAAGCTGGCTGCAATCACTTAAGAACCAATGCTTCTGGATTTAGCCTGAGAGGTAACCATCAATCAGAAATGTGTTATCAAAGATCAGAAAAGTAATGCTATCCTTGCAGGTGAGCTTCCTCTCTCCTTCACCATCTGTGGATATCCCTTTTCAACTCTTGAGAGCTCACTCAGGTATACTTGTATGCTTAAGACTACAAACAGACCAGTTTAGGGAATGCATTTGTCTTCACATGATGAACATTCTGTGTTGGAACATTCACCAGACATTAATCAAGTGTTCACAGATGAGTAGACTCATATGAAGCACATGTAGAAAATACAAAGTGAGCATTGACAGTCGTTCAATCACTAAAGAAAAAATAAGTATCATCAAAATTAAAATTCTCTTCTTCCAGAAACTATAAGGAGACGGCATGAGGAAATTTACAAATTCAAAAAGCTAATTTTGTTCCAAATGGTATAAGCCCAAAGAAATACATGCCAAGACACATCAGAAGTAAACTTCTGAAAACTTAAAGACAGGAAAAAAAAATCTTGAAAACAAATGGAGACAAATAACACATTACTTATGTGGGAACACATTCAAAGGACATTGGATTGGATTTCTCATCTGATACTATGGAGGCCAGAAGGAAGTGGCTCATTATTCAAATATTGGATGAAAAGAACTGAAACAAAACAGAATCATGAATCTTATATCCAGCAAAGATATTCTTATAAAAAGGAGGGCAATAAAGACAGTCCCAAACAAAGGGAAAGTACAGTTAGTTGTTAGCAAGCCCACCTTTGAACAATGGCTTAAAGAAGGTATCTAACCATAAAGGTAATGATAATAAAAGCTTGGAACTTTAGAAGGAAAGTAGAAAATAGAATGAGTAAAAAGATGAGTAGTAATTAGAAGAAATACCAAGTCTGTCCTACCTCTCATTAATTTATAAATCATATTTGATGTTAGAAATAAAAATTATAACACTATCTCATGTGGAGGAAATAGAACAATTATATTTTAAAAGTATACAGGGTAAAAAATATGTAAAAATAAGATTTCACTTTAAGTAGAAAGAATCAATACTAGTAGACTTTTTATGTCTATTGTAATACTTAGTGAAATCACTAAGAAACTGCACAAAGATACATACTTTAAAACTGTATAAATAAGTCAAGGTGGAGTCCTAATAATGTTAAATAACCTGCAAGGAGCAAGAAAAGAGAAATAGAGAAAACAAACATAAAACAAATAACATGGAAAAACCTAAGCCCCAACATGTCAGTAATTACTGTAAATGCAAATGGTCTAAACATAAAAAAGACACTGGGAAAGTAGATTTTCAAGACAAAACAAAATGTATCCAACGATATATACTATTCATAAGAAATTTACCTAAATTTCAACAATATAAGTAAATTGAAAGTAGAATGGTAAAATATATACCATGTAAATGCTAATCCAAAAAGGAGGATGAATATATTATTATCAGATAAAATGGTCTTCAGAGCAAAGAAAACTACTAGAGACAAAGAGGGACAGTACATAACAATGAAAGGATCAATTCATCAGGAAGACAAGAACAAAGATGTTTTTGTGAAGCAAAAACCTGATAGAACTGAAAGGAGAAATAGAAAAATCTACAATTACAGTTGTAAACTTCAACGTCCTACTCTCAGCAATTTATGGAAATAGTAGACACAAAGTCAGCAAGGATATAGGAGACCGCTAAACATCATCAACCAGCCAGATCTAATCAATATTTATAGATCACTCCACTGTCAGTAGAATATGCTTTCAAGCATCCAAAGGAAATATACTGAGATAGACCTTATCCTGAGCCATAAAACAAATCTCAAAAAATTTAAAAAATCAAAATCATGCAGAGCATGTACTCAGATTACAATGGAATCAAACTAGAAATCAGTAATAGAGAAATAACAGGAACATCTCCAAATATTTGGAAACTATACAACACACTTCTAAGTAATACATGGGTCAAAGACAAGATGTTTGTCAAAAAAAAAAGTATATTGAACTATATATATATTCAAACTATATATATATTCAAAAATATATTGAATTAACATGAAAATAAAATTTGTGTGACATAGTTAAAGCAGTTCTTAGAAGGTTTATAATACTGAATGTGCACATTTGAAAAGGTGAAAGTCTCAAATAATCTAAGCTCCCACCTCAGGAACCTAGAAAAAAAGCAAAACAAGAAAAAAGAAGGAAATAATAGAGATTAGAAATAATGATATTGGAAAGAAAAATAAGGAAAAATCGGTGAAACAAACTGTTTCTTTGAAGAGATCAATGAAGTTCATAAACTTCTAGCAAAACTGACCAAAAAAGGCACAAATTATCATCATTTTATCAGGAATGCAACTGTAATATCTCTACACACACTATTTACAAGAGAAAATTATGCTGAGTAAGGCCAGTATCCAAAGCTTAATTACTATAGGATTACATTTTTATAATATTCTTGAAATGATGAAATGATAAAAATGGAAAAGAGAGTAGGGTTCCTAAAGTTATAAGAAAGACATGGAGCGGGAGGGAAGTAGATGTCCGTATAAAATGGAAAAATGCGTAATCCTTGTGGTGATAAAATGTTCAGTATCTTGAACTGCATCACTGTCAACATCTTGGCTATCATACTGTAGTTTTGTAGGATGTTACTACTGGGGGAGTAGAGTACGTGGGATTTCTCTGTATTATTTCTTACACTTACATATTTTTAAGGAAAAAATTTTTTGTCTTTCACTAAATTAAATGCCAGTCTTACAGTAAATGGTAAATATTTGATGATAATTGTAGTGTTAACAAAAGAATTTTTATAAAGTCACATATTTAGCAAAAATTACAAGTACTTAATAAATGTTAAATTGCTGTCAATAAAGCCATATAGTAAATTTGATAGCCAATCAAAGAACTTCAGATCTTTCAGAAAAGAAAACCTAATCCCACCCTGTCATATAATTCATGGGAAAAATAGGATTGAGAAATTATGAGTAACTGAATGTTCATATAGCTGGTTCATACCCAAGCTGGATAATAGGAACTATGCTAACTTTATTGTCTGTTATTTAAGAATTTAGGTCTTCTGAATTCCCCCTAGCTCTGTCAACTCATCACTGACTATAAACTAGAAGTGGGTCAAGTATTGAAATATACAAAGGAATTGAAGATGTCAATCTTAGAAATCTTATTACTTTTCTACTCTCTCCATATTCCTTTCAGTATACTGTAGTGACAAATCTTTTATTTCTTATTTCTTACTTAAAAGCATGGCCTCTTTTGTATAGAAAATGTCCTGGTTTCTTTTCATTGCATTTTCAGTCCAATTGAAAATTGACTGTAAGTCTCTACAGCTTCTAGGAAGTTTAAAGTGGGTAGTCTCCACGATTTAGTAGTGAGCAGTCCAGACAACATTTAAGGTCATTGTTTTAAGACTTTATCATACCGGTAATTTATGTCAGCCAAATTCCTGTGTATTTCAAGTGACTGAATTCATGAGAGACTTAAAAGAGAAATGCGCTTTTGTTATAAATTTCTTCACATTGAATAAAATTAATAGGTTAATGTAAAAGTTTGGTTGTGAAGGAATGTAGACACAAGAGAGGAATATAAAAAATATTATGTGAATATGTCAACCAAAAAGCATTACTTTGCATTTCTCTTAATAACTTCTGCATATTAATTTTAAGCTAATCAAGGTTACGTTACCTGATTTATATAAAAATTTTACCCTTCTCCCTGTGATTGGGTCATATGAGTCATGTCCCACTTATAATTGATGGTTTTAATTAAAAGTCTTATATGCATATAGCCTCATTACTTTTATATTTAAGGTCTGATTTTTTTCAGACACTGTTTTTAATAGTTTTCATGACTTGCTATAATTTATCTTTAAACTTAAAGTTGTCAATCCCATCACAGGCCTAGAAAGTTAGAAAACACCATTTCTGTTTCTATGTGGAAAACTCAAGTACAAAGAGCTATTCTGACTGTACCAGTGACAATTTCTAAAACTTTATGACTTTTTTTCAGATTACAGCGTCAAAGCCATGCTAAAGACAATGAAATCAAGAACCTTAAAGAGCAACTCTCCCTGAAAAGGTACAAACAGCTACGGCTCAGGTTGAGAGCCCCTTTCTGAGACTCTGTGTTTTGTTCAGCATGTTCTGGTGAGGGTAAGCATACAGTTTATCACCCGGACTGGGGCACTTCTGCGTATGAAATTGAGCAGTTGTTTTTTTTTAAACAATTTTTTTAAGATTTATTTAATTTTATAAGAACTGGGGTTACAGGCCAGAGGTGCGGGAGGGTGAGAGGATCCACCAGAGATAGAGTGGGGAACAGGCAGATCCACTGAAATACACTGCTGAGGGGAGCAACAGGCACATCAGGAGAGGTCTGCCTTGACATGTAGGTAGCTCCCTGGCCAGCCAGGAATCAAACCCACGCTGCAGAGGCTGTGGACACCTTCACAGCACTGCGCTCAACCCACTTCACCACCAAGGATGCCCCAGATTGAGCAGTTTTAATAATTAACTGGGACAACAGATAGGAACTGAAAGTGTCCTAGGCAAATTGGAAAGTATATTCACCTTAGCTCTGGCCCTAGAAAACTGCTGAGAAAGATTAAATCATCAAAGTGATGACCCCACAACAAACTGCAGGACTAGAGCGTATGCTTCCTTGTCTCTTAATCCCTAATCAATACTATGAGATGTCACTGTTTTGTGAAAGTGGCTAAATTTTATTCAGATTCACATATTTTTGTCTGTAAGTAATTTTTAAAATATCTTTTTTAAGATCTAATTCAGAGAGCATAAAATTCACTATTAAAGTATACAATTCTTTAGTTTTTAGTATGTTCACAGTCATCAAACCATCTATAGTCCGGCAATTTATCTTTTTGTTGGTGAGTTTTAAGAGTCTTAATGCTTGCTTATCAGAAACATAATAGGCAAACATTTTCTCCCATTGTGTGGATTGTCTTTTCACTTTCTGATGATCTCCTTTGAAGAACAAAAGTTCTTAAATTTTGATGAAATCTGTTTTCTCTTGATCTTATAAGAAAATTTTTACTAATTTTTCTTGGTTAATATTTTTCCCCAAATATTTTGATTGTTTTTCCTCTTGAAATACTTGCCTTAATAGTTTAATATATATTGTTTTTGTCAAGCTTCTCGTCAACGTTTGGGCAGTACTCAAGCATCCAGATACTTCAAATAATAAAACATTGAGGATAGCTTTTGTAAAGACCCTGTTACAATGTTATATTCTCAATTCATTATTTTCACAAAAGACATTATTTGTTTTGCATGTTTTAGAGTTCTAGGGGTCAAGTGTGGGAACCTGAAATAGGATAAGAGAAAGAGAAACCCCACAGGTAGCCATTTCCCATAATTTACATCAAATAATGTCGTTATCATCTTTCTCCCTCTCCCCCAATGATTTGTTTTTATTCTAAGGTATTGTATGTGGTCCCCAAGATAACCAATAAAATATTTTAATGTGGTAACTTAGCTCTATGACAATCCATTAAAAACTTTTCTGGTTTTTACTTTAATGTCTTCACTTGCTATTATGTTAATGTACTGTATACTTTTCCATGGAATCATCTACTCATTGGATAGGTTATATCGTTCTTCTTCCTGAATAAAGTGGAAAGTCTGTCCTTGCTGTAATTTACTGATTCTTTAATGATCATATATTTCAGATCTCAGTGGGAGATGGAGAAGCATAATCTGGAAAGCACAATTAAAACATACTTAAACAAATTGAATGCAGAAACTAGCAGAGCTTTAACAGCTGAGGTAAAGAAAAAACAAGAGAAAGAGAACTGGGATTGGGGAGGGAAGTTTTCAGGTATGCTAAAGAAATGAAAAAAAGGCTATCTTTTGAATATAGAAAGAAGACATCTTAGGACCAGCTGGAAAAACACAGTTCTAATTAATGGCTTCCCCGCCACTATTTCGCATTTTGTATGTAATTACTTCAATGTTGAGGATCTTATGTTGTTTCCCCCAAAATGACATATAGAAATCAGTTTGCTTAAGTTATATGTAGCAAGTACAGACATCTAGGGAAAAGTCTTATGAAACCAGAGTTCTAAAGAATAATATTTCACTGTTGCTATCATATCTCCTTTCTTTGATACTGCTTACAAAGATCTTTCAGAAAATGCATACACATCATACATTCCAATGTCAAGAACCAACTTGCCCTCTAGACCTCCAGAAAGTTACCCAGTTTCTTCTAAGTCAGCTTTAGAATTCTACAACTAGGGTCTATGAAAAGAAATATGGTTATATATGTTTACATAATTTTTATTATAGGTAACCTAACTTGATATACAGTAAGATTCAAACTTTTGAACATGCTGATATTAAAAGCATTACAAACCTTACTCCTTCTGTATGAATAAGCTCTATTCTTTAGCAGAGACTTAGGAATTAGGAGGTAAACAGTCAAGTAGTGATATCTGAACCCAAAATCCCTGGAAACTAATATGTTGGAGTGCTAGCTTTAACAACAACAAAAGTTCTGATTACTTTAAGAACTCAACTTTTGTATATTTTTTTTCTGCTTTTAGTAAGAAGGCTTCTTTCTACTTCCATTATTAATCTTAGAATCACAGTGCTGGATTATAAGAGTATCTTTTCAGTGAATTTGAGTGATTAGCAGGAAAAAAGAGGTTATGTTACCATGTAATAATAATGGTGCAGAAGGGATTCCTGCCATGGCAGAGACATTAGATCACCTCCAAAACCCAGTTGGACTATTTGATCCTATATGGTCTAATTACAGACAACCCCTGGGTTTTATGATGGTTGTACTTCCAAGTTTTTGCTCCTACAGTAGTATGACAGTATTATGCATTTGGAAGAAACTGTAGGGTGTTTTCTCTTAATGCTGGGCAGCAGCAGTGAGCTGCAACTTCAATCAGCATTTTCAGCTTTTGTTATTTTTCAACTTATGGGTTTGGAGAGATTTAACCCTGATGTAAATCAAGGAAGAGCAGTATTTTTTTATCCCTTTATCAATGAAAACAAAATAAATTTCTTTTGCGTATTCTCAAATTTTGCAGCATATTAGAATCACCCTGATAGCTTTTAAAAATTCCTAACCTGGGCCACACCTGGTATCAATTAAATTAGAATCTCTGAGATCAAGGCATTATATTTTAAGTTTCTGAGATAATTCCAATTATTTCCATGTTTGAAAACTAATGTTCCAGAATATTTACCAATCCAGTAACCATTGAATAAAAAAATAGAATTGATTTATCCAATTGTATGATATTAATAAACTACTAATAAAAAATTAGATCAAAAAGTGTTTATAATGTATCATGGAAGATCAAGAAACTCACGTGCTGCTTGGAGAGATTGAAAAATAGCTTAAAATTTACTTGAAATTATTGAAGAAAATTTTACAAGGACACCTCAACTTCTTTTCCTTTCTCTCAAAAATCTAGGTGTATTTCTTACAGTGTCGTAGAGATTTTGGTTTGCTGCATCTAGAACAGACTGAAAAGGAATGCCTCAGTCAGCTTGCGAGGGTGACTCACATGGCAGCAAGGTAACCTTCCCTGTCTTCCTTAATGTATCCTGACTGCAAGAGCTCCAAGGTTATGCATAATCCGTGATATGATTTACATAATGACATCAGAGTCTTTGGAGTGAAAGGCCCTTTTTTTTTTTTTAAATTTATTTTTTTTTTAGAGGCATGTTTTATTTATTTGATTGTTTGTTTTGTTTATACTTGCACTGGGTACAGTCAGAAGCGCGGGAGGGTGAGAGAATTCACCAGAGCCAGAGCGGGGAGCAGAGCAGGCAGAAGGACCAAAGTACACTGCTGAGGGGAGCAGCGGGCGGCAGGAGAGTTCTGCGCGCCATGTGGGACCCTCCTCTGGTGGCCGGGGAGCAGCCGGGGATCGAACTGGCGCCGCAGAGGCCGCGAGCAGCTTCGCAACCCCGCGCTCAACCGCTGCGCCACCGGGGAGGCCCAAAGGCCCTTATTTTTTAAATCTCAGAAATCATTTAGTTACTTTGATGTTTTCACTTTATTCCCTCTGCTGAAGCACTGCAAAGTCTAGGAGTGCAGAATGTATTTTTCCCTTCTGCAGTGAAATAGAACAAGTCTCAGACATGTATGAAGCTAGATATTTACAAAACACGGTAGATTCTAATTGGAAAACTTTTTTCGAATTGTTTTCTCTTTCTAGTGTTAAATTTTAAATACCTTTGGAGTATATTGAAGGAAAAATTAGTATTAACACTTAAAATCATGTTAAAAGCAATTTTCTGCTATACTATAAGTGATTTTCAAACATTGGGCAGGTTGCATGAGATCTATAAATTTATAGTCTTGGGGTAGACTTTCAAACTTAAATAATTATATTAGAATCTCTGGGACCAAGGCATTATTTTTTAATAATTATAATGATCATCATCGTTCTTTAATTCTAAAGAATCAGAATCTCTGATATTTAGCAAGATTCCCATTACATACTGATGTGCATTCAGTTTTGGGAAAGCACTTTTGTAAGAGATCAGTCTATCTTTGCTTATAAAGGAAAAGACGCTTTGTAAATGAGAACATTATCATGCCTAATTTTAAGAGATTTCAGTGATAACTTGTTTTTTACTCTTCTAAAGCTATTATGCTAGGTAATACTAGTGTAAGGATATTATAACTGATAGAAACCTTCTAAAAAGCCACATGAAATTTCATTTCTAGAGATAGCAGAGCCTAAACACCTCAAAGCTGTGCTTTCTTCATTTGGTGGGCATGTTTGACAGAGTTGCTATATTTGTGCGATTTATGCGCTGTATGGAAGCAATAATCTAATTCATTCTCACAAAAGAGGTACTTTTTTCTGATTTGCCCTCCCAAAGTGTTTTTTCCTGTAATTTGCAAAGGAGTCTGATAGGCCAATAGTGATCCTGTGATATAAGGGTTAATGTGAAGATAGTCCAAACCTTGCTTCCAAGATAAGTCAACATCTTTGAGATGTTCCTACATTGGCTGGCTAGGGCAAATTCCCCTTTTTGGCCTTCTCTGCCTTTCTACTTCAGTGGAGAGATACCTGTACAAGGATTTTACAATATCTCCTAAAAATTGTCAGGATAGAAAAAAACTTGGTGTTCTGGAGGCAGAAGTTGTATTTGCTCCTGAAAATGTTAATCTTATATACTCCTACTCTATTTTATTTTTAACAAGCCCTTCATTACAGCTTTGTGCCCATTTGACGTAATTGTTGGTGATGGAGATAATTTTGTTGTTTTTTTCTTACCATATCTACTAGAAAATATAATGGAAATTTTTAGAGATCTAAGTGGTATATAAAAAGAAATAACTTTCTCTTATGTCTCCTTTTCTACACCAGCAACTTAGAATCACTTCAATTAAAGGCTGCAGTGGACAGTTGGAATGCCATTGTGACAGATGTTAGAAACAAGATTGCATTCCTCAGGGTAAGTCATGAAGTATATTTAGAGTGACTTGAAAGTTGTAGGTATATATACTTAAAGAAAACATCTAACATTAAAAACTAGAACTAGGGCCTCCCTGGTGGCGCAGCAGTTGAGTGCTGGGTTGCAAAGCTGCCCGCAGTCTGCAGCGCCGATTCGATCCCCGGCTGCTCCCCGGCCACCAGAGGAGGGTCCCATATGGCGCACAGACCTCTCCTGCCGCCTGCTGCTCCCCTCAGCAGTGTAGTTCGGTCCTTCTGCCTACTCTGCTCCCCACTCTGGCTCTGGTGAATTCTCTCACCCTCCCGCGCTTCTGACTATACCCAGTGCTTATATAAATAAATAAATCTTTAAAAAAAAAAAAAACTAGAACTACTAGAGAAATTTAAGAACATTCATTCATTTATTGAATTGTATGCCTTTTTGAGGTTTGATATTGATTACTTCCATGTAGCTGGTTGTGGATAACATTCTAGACTTGTACAGGTGGTGTTTTAAGTCCTAAGTATAATAAATGATAAACTCAAAAATCATCTCACACCTAATTCCAAAGCTAACATTGCTCCAATCAGAAACAAATGGCTTGATGTGAGTAATTATATGTTATAGAAGTAAAAGGAAGATCAAATAGACCTGTATTAGTTTCAGTCTTAACTTTTTATGTAATTATTAACTATTAGTTTAATAGAATTGGGACAATGCTAAGGTAATCTAAAAAGGTAACCCACTGAATATTTATTCATTTGATTTTAGAATGTTTTTACTTATCTTAGAGTTGACATTTGTTGACTGTTTTGTGATTTCACAATATTGCCCATGAAACAATGACATGCAATTGTGAATAGCTGCATCAAGACAACTATTTAGTGTTTTTGTTAGTTGTCTTGACTGTTTCTCTCCTGGATCTCATCCTTAGTCTTTAGCAGTGCTTAGCATTTCTGTTAGGTTTATTCAAAGTTCCGACCTCAAAAGAGCTGCCCCATGTTCCGTATCCTTACTTTCTCTTACAAGCACATGTCCTCTGTGCAGGAGTCTTTTTATTTATTTATTTATTTTATGCATACAAGACCTGGGGTACAGGCCAGAGGTGTGGGGGATGAGAGGATTTACCAGAGATAGAGTGGGGATCAGAACAGGCAGACTGACTGAAATATAATGCTGAGGGGAGCAGTGGGCAAGACAGGAGAGGTCTGCTGTGCCATGTGGGTCACCTCCCTGGCCAGGGATCGAACTAATGCTGCAGTGGCTGTGGGTAGCTTCATAGTTCTGTGTCTTAACCCTTGTGCCACTAGGGAGGCCCCTGTGCAGGAGTCTTTAAGACAAATGTTTTGTTTCTTAAGACTTTCTTTTCCAGCTCTTGTAGGTTGCTTACAAAATAATAAGGTAAAGGAAATTGGAGACAATGGCAAACAATGTTGACAGCATATTGTTAAGCTTTAGTAACTGTAGTCTTTTTCTGGCAGAATCCAAGAGAATAAAACAAAGGTATATATGGAATTAAAGAAAATTAGTAGTATATTTTTTGAGTGAAGCAAAATGTAAATATTTAACATATTCCCTAAAATGAACATTTGCAAATAGTTTTAACTCTTTGTTACAAATACCTTTTCCCCATAGTTAATCAGCTAGTATGTTATTTTAAACCTTCTTAATTTTTTAGACTATGTTCACATTATAATAGTAGTTCCCATTAGGGGCTAAAAATTTTGGTAACACTGAAGAATTATCACAAAGAGCTGTGAATTACATGTCTCTGTATTGTAACAGTCAACAGATACTTCTAAAAATACAACTATGTACATTTAGGAATAGTGGTCCATAGAATTGTTTTTATGTCAAACATTTTTTAAATTCTGACCTACTGGGTCACAAATCACTATTCTGTGTTGTATTCTTCAAAACTACATCAAGAATTCCCATATGCTTTTTCTGTGAAGTTGATTTTGCTCTGAAATATTGCTTCTCTTCTACCAGACACAGTACAATGAACAAATTAACAAGGTGAAGCAAGGATTTGCCTTGAGTACCTTGCCTCCAATCCAACTTCCTCCACCACCACCCAATCCTGACATGCTGGTAAGAAATACGAAATTTTGAAAAAAATGTACATCTTTGTCTTGATAAAATGATAAGGATTGTGAAACATAAAATATGTTATGTTTAATATGTATTCAAAATAGCATAGGTACTTGTGCATATCATTTGAAAATATTCCTATTTATTCCTAAATAGTTCTAGTATATCATCTCCAGATGATACAATTCGTTGCCTGGCTCAGCTGAGATCAATACATAGGATCACACTGGATTTTAGGGATGCATGTGATATCTAAAGAGGTAATATATTCTCATTCATCCTATCAATCTCCCCTATACTCTGAGCCAACTTTAACACTGTCAGCATATTGTCATCCCCTATTTTCTCCCTACTGGAGTATTTTAAAATAAACCTGAGATATCCTATAATCGCATCCATTTGTGCTTTACCATATATTCCTGAGAAGATGAGAACTCTTATTATTTGATATAATCACAGTCTCTTACCTAAAAAAGTATAATTTTTAACATCTAATATCATTTAAAACTTACATTTTCCCAATTGCCTCCAATATGTATTTTCCTTACCTCAGTAGTATTTCTGGGTTGGTTATAATTACCTTTAAAAGCCCTCATTTTTAAAACAATACAAGTGAGGTTTATACTTTGCATTTGGCTAATTATTGTTCTCCTTTATGTTTGTAACAGTTACCATAACCCCCTTCCCTTTTATTCATGCATTTCTTTTGTCTAAAAAAAAAAAAAACAACTAGGTGTCATTTATCCACAGTCCAACATTGTTGATTTAACTTATTACATACTTGCAGTGTCATTATGTATGTTCTACTGTTTCCTATAAACTTATCATTAGATCTGGAAGGTTTAGAATCAGGTTCAATAGTTTTGGCAAGAGTACATATTTGTACAGAACGCACATGATGTCTCTCCGTTAGTGATGTTAAAAATTGAATGTCAACCTGATTATCCACTATAAAGTTCCCCATCAACCTTTCATGTGCAGGTTTTCAGGTCATTACTTAAGAGCTGTGTTAATGTTTATTTTTTTAATTCATCTAATAGTTGAACTACTGCTTTATGCTAGTGTTCTAACATATGGTAGATGCTCAGTAAATCTGTCCTCATTTGTAGTTCAACCAATGAGGTATCTATCCTATTGGTAGATGCTAAGAAGGGCTAGCTTTCCACAACCCCATGAAAAGTACAGTTACACTCAGAAACATATCTACAAGAAACTAGGGAGAGTTGTCTCGCAGGGCCACCCCATTTTACCTTTCTACTGTCCTCGGAATTGTCAGAATTCCATCAAGCAGTGTAAGATCCCTCAGTACAGAGTAACAAAAGTAGTATTTTCTGTAGACAACTTTGGTTTCTTAGTGAAATTTCTACTAAACATGGGCAGTATGCACTGAGGAGCTCCTTTTCATGGCCCTATATTACTACAGTTGCGAGGGAACCTTAAAGACCACCTAACCTGATCCTCTTATTTTACTGATTTGTAACCTTGGCATCCAGGGTTACTCAGCTAGTTGGAGAGAAAGTAGAACTAGAAGCCAATTATCTTCTGTCACTCAGTGTCCTTTAGTATATTTCACTGCCTTTTGCTTTTCCAAACATTCATATATTTAACTAATGTACTTTGTATCTAGATTTTAAATCACTGTTTCCCCTGAACATTGCTCTGTAAGTTTAGATCATTGCCTATTTAAGTAGATAAATAAGTAGGTTTTCGTCTTTTTATTTTACATTTTCTCTTTTAGATGCAGCAGTTCTTGGGACGACCCCTTGTGAAAGAATCCTTCTATAGACCCATACTCACTGTTCCTCAAATGTCTGCTGTTTGCCCTGGAGTCATCTCTGCAACTGGGCAACCTAGAGCTCCCCTGGTACAGAACACTTTTCGGTGGAATAGACGTTAACTAGTTATCACCACAGTACACTTCTGAAATAAATATTTTCTCTTTGTTCCTTTATTTGATAAGTGATGGTCATGGTGACGATGGTGGTGATAATGAATAGTTCCATTGAAGCTCTGTGTTAATGGTGCTTATTATTATTTAATTAACTGATACTAGTTGTGTTTTGTGATATAAAAATCAATTTGTTTTCCATAGAGAATCCTTACAATTACAGTTTTGCTCCTATAACAAGCAACAATGCAAAATGGATTGAGATTTTAAATAGTTAATTTGTATTTAGCATGGCTTTTGGGTAGACAGAAAAGCAAAAGGGCCAAGTTACAACGAACTAAATTATGCCAAAGTCAAAGAAAAATTTGATTCACACATACATAAATATGCATGTGTAGTAGGACAGTGTTTCAATTTTATCTAAAAAAAACCAATATCACCTTCGACCACATACTGGAAAATACAACTCTTCCTACTTCAAATAGCCAGAAAACCTTATCCAAACCTGAATAAGCAATAGAGGAATTTTAAATAACTAGAATTATTAGATGTAATATTGACAAAACTTTTTATTAAAACAAAAATCTCCCAGAAGGGTGACATTAAATATATCTAATGAAAAAAATCTCTAATCTTGACTGTTCCACAAGTAGATATTAGTCAATTGTTTCTTTTGTTTGTGTAACTATATATTATAAATAAATGGACTCTGCTTATTTTTGTAAAAGGTTGCCTCTGCAAACAAATATAGTGGATATATGTTAACTAAGCACCACATGTTTTATCACCATGTTGCTTGCATGGTTTACTCCCACGCCATTCTGTAAGCAGCTATGATAAAGTTTTATTGAAAACAGTAAAGCCCTTAGCCTTCTAAAATTACTTTCTGATTCCTCAGGGAAAACTTGATACTGAGGCAAACCCAGATTTCCAGGCAATATTTTGCTCCTTCTCTGACTTACTAGTTTGCATAAATTATTCCAATGGTTAAAAGTTAATTTTTCATGAATATAACCTTATATTTGAAAATAACCCTCAGAGCCATAGGAAAAAGTTGCCATATTTTTAATTATCATAAGTAATTGATTAGAACTCCAAAAATATTCACTTACCATTAAATAAAATCTTAATGGTTCTAAGAAGGAGCTACCATAAAATATGGAAGAAACTTTGATGGTTTCATGCCTCTGAGGTATCACTACAATTTTGTAATAGTGCTGAACAGACATTATAGTAGTATGGTCATCTTTATTTAGCTCTTTGAAAATTCAAGTTAACTTTTTCTAATTGTAAAAATAGTGTATGTTAATCATAAAAATGTGAATAATATAGAAATATACAAAGTATATAATAGACATCAACCAAGAATAAAGCCAAATTATCCTGCAGTTGAATCCTATAAAATCACTGCTTACAGACTGTTTAATTTACAGGCCTTTTTCTATGCATACACATTTAAAAACTTAATATAAAATGACCATGTACCATAAATACTGTGCCACAATCTTTTTTTTTTTAATGATTCATAGTCTATGGACATCACTTATGCTCAGACATACAGATCTATCTTTAAGGACTTAATTAGATAATGCGATGACTTTTTACATATTTGCAATTACTGAGAGCAACATGTCCCATTTTTAAAATAAACATAATTATAAAAATTAGAAATATCGTTGTGCTAGTTAAGAAAAACTCTTCAAAGGGAACATGTATGTCAGTATTCTTCATTCCTCCCACTTCCTGAAGTATGGAAATGTCACGCTGCATTGAATGTTACTTCCTAAAGATTGAAGCTGATGGGCTGTAACTCTCTGCTCCTCACAGGTGACTGGTATAGCCTGGACTGTCCCAGCCCCTGTAGGAGAGGCTGTTCCTCCCAGTGCAGGTCTGGGAAGTGAACCCACAATGAATTGGGAGAAGATTATAGACAAGCTGAAAACTGCCTTTCCACAACAGACCAGGTACCTTAGTTTTTGTTTTTTTGTTTTTTTTTTTAATTTTATTTTTATATTCCCCCATACAATTGCAAACGCCCCATTCTGACCCCAATCCTTCCCCTCCCACCCCCCACCCCCCAAAAAGTGTCTCTGGTTCATAGTTTTTTGTTGATTTTGATTTTCACTTTCTTATATTCATTTTCCTGGTCCCTTATTTAAGTTTTCTAGATTCCTGCTATGAGTTTTTATTTAGTGGTGCGTACAAGTCATATGCTATAGTGCATAATTTCAGCACTGAAACATTGCAGATAAGTATAACATATACACACAAATACAGGTATTTCCTTAGCAAGGAAATTTTTCAAGAAGGGGTAGTATTTAATATAACTCTAACCTAAACCTCTTCATTAAAATTATTAGTCTTAATTCATGGGAGAACAAATCAAATTTTTAAATTTAGATTTGCTCATTTGCTGAAAGTACAGCTAGTTCTAAACCTATCCAATTATCATACTACCAGCTGCAATGATTACCTTAAAACTCACTTTGGAAATAGGTTGATTGTATAAGCCCAAATATCATCAGGTTTTACTTTTCTATTTCCTTAATTTATTTAGGGTCTTTCTAGTTTCTTCATTATGGAGCATAGTGAAATGCCGATTTTACTGTGCTTTTTAAAATTCTGACGTTAGCATTTAATACTTCTCCAGAAATGAAGTTTATCTTTACCCTTATATCCAAGGAAATAATTCTAGTGTTCACCAGTATTTTCAAGATGAACATTTTGAAGATGAACACTTTTATCTATGGTGTACATACTGTTAAACTCTAGGATTAGCTTATTTTAGAAATAGAACTATAATACAGTTGTAATAAGAATATGTATAAAATGAGTATGTATAATGAATAAAATGAACAAATGAATATGTATAATGAATAAAGTAAATGAATAAATAGTACATTAAAGGTTATGTTATAAGACTGATGACATTCCACTTAATTTGGAAAAGAAAATTACTTCATCCTGCCCTAGCCTACCAAAAATGTAAATGCAGTTATGGGTCAGTGGACCATGGTAATTGAAAAGGAACATATCACTTAAATTGTCCTAGGATTTTTTTAATTACATAATTTGTCTTTTAATCTTTCCTTTTCTTTTTTGTTTTCCATTTCTGAGTTTTATAAAAATAAAACTGTTAACATTAATAGTTAACCAGTAGTCAGAGCGGTAAAAGGGATTATTTTGGTCCTGATTGAGAGTTTTGAAAGGTATGGTGTAAACAGATCAGAATGCAAGTAGAAAGCAAACTTGATTTAAAAAACTATTTGGAGAATAAATACTAAAATTTTTCACTCATGAACACAGCATCATTCAAGAACATATTCATTTCATTTTCATTTAAGATAAATGTAGATTGATCTGTGATTTTTTTTATATCAAACATCTAAAGAGTCATGTCTATATCAGTGTTTATGTATTAATCATATGATAGGATTTTATATCTTGTTTGCATCCTTAAGGCAGTAGGGCAATTCTTTCCTTGATCTCTTCCAGAAAGGAGCTTACAGATTTCTTTAGGCAATTGAAGGATACTCATGGAAAGTCTTTATCTGGACTGACATTTGATGAAATTGTTTACAAGATTTCTCAGCTTATTGGCCCCAAGAGAGCTCAGGTAAAAAGTAAAAGTCTCTTATTTCTACAGTTACATGTTGTAATTGTGTTTATAACATGTTCATGTTAAATCATCTATTAATAATAAACAATTTAACTGACAAATGACATGGGAAATACTGAGCATCTGATCATCCTAGAATAAAACTGATCCTCTTGTAATTTACTCTGGGTTACTTTGAATGATCTTGAAGGAAGACTTTTTTCCCTATGTTCTGCAAAGATTTAATTTAGAGTGTATAGATTTCTGTCCTTAAATTGCTCTGAGTATATATGTAATATAGTCTATTTTTAAGGTTTCTCTTGATGGGCACATTTAGTAATATCTAAAGAGATGTGAACCAATACCCCTAAAACATACTGTTTTAAAAATCAGTGTACCTCAATAAAAATAATTTGATACATGTAAAAAGATTTCTCATGAATATGATTGACCTTTATTTACCCTTTTGCTAATTCTCACTGTATGCTATTATGTGCTATTCTCAGTACTACTTATTTTATTATTTTTTTGAAGATTTATTTTTTTATTTATTTATGCATACAAGAACTCTGGGGTATAGGCCAGAGGTGTGGGGTGTGAGAGGATTCACCAGGGACAGTGGGCAGCAGAACAGTCAGATCTACTGAAATACACTGCTGAGGGGAGCAGTGGGCGAGAGGAGAGGTCTGCTGTGTCATGTGGGTTAGCTCCCTGGCCGGGGATGGAACTCAGGTTACAGTGGCTGCGGATACCTTGATAGTTCTGAGACTTAACCCCTTGCGCCACCAGGGAGGTCCTAATACTTCTTATTTTAGAGCAATTCTTTAAAAGAGTGTAATATTTTTATTTTTAGAGTCAAGGAAAATCAGTGCCAAATGGTGGTAGTAATGTTTCACCCAGCCATACTGCACCACAGTCTAATGCTGCCCAGCCACCCAAGCAAGCCTGGAGGGCCCTCACTTCACAAAGTCCTGCCACATGGGAAGGAGCCAATAATTTGGTGAGTCTGGAATTGCAGATTCTAAATGCATTAAATTCGGGGAGGAAAAAAGGGAGCTGAATTTAACCTTTGTGTGTTTTTCTCTAGGATGATGAGGAGGAAGAGGAGCCTTGTGTGATCTGTCATGAAAATCTTTCTCCAGAAAACCTGTCAGTTTTGCCTTGTGCTCATAAATTTCACTCTCAGGTAATGCATTAAATCTAACTTTTTATTTCATTTTTATTTATTTTTAATTGAAGTAATATTAGGATATCCCCATCAGATATTGCCACCAAAAGCACCCATCACCAACTCACCCATAGTCCCCCACCATAGTCCGTTGTGCTTCCTTCCCTTTTTGTTCTTACCACCCCTCTCCCTCCTCCCCTCTGGATGCTTCAATTCTGTGGTCAGCTCTCAAGCGTTAGTTTTTAAGGTTGTCTTTATCTAACCCTTAGATAGGTTTGTCTATATTCCACACACTAGTGACATTATATGGCTTTTATCTTTCTATGAATTATTTCATTTAGCATTATCCCTTTCAGCTCCATCCATGTTGCTGCAAATCATACAAGTTTATCCATTCTGATAAATATTCCTTTGATCCATCTTCTTGATCCACTTATCTGTTTGTGGGCATTTAATAGCCATAATTGGCTATTATAAATAGTGCTGCAATAAACATGAGAATGCAAGCCTCCTTTCAAATTAGATAAACTTGCTTTTTTAATATTTACCACTAATTGATTGAGACTTATACTACCTTACTGTGTCATCATCCATTGCTGTCATGAGTCCCACTGGATATTATTCAGGACTTTTGGGTACCACACAAACACATTTATTCCTGTTTCTCCATACCTAGCCACAGATTGCACTGTGTTGTCTCAGATCTCCAAACACTTTACAGCAGACGGGGACAACAGTGAGATTTAATGGTACCAGGAAGACAGTTCCCTTGCATAGAACTGGGAGGAATGTTAATTGACATGGCAGTTCAGTGGCAGTTTAGCAACAGTACTGCTTCACCTAGATTTGCTATAAATAACACATAGTATCCTTGAATGCGCCTTATCCATTATAAAGCATCAAACTACCTTTATCTCTTCAGGCTCCTATTTATTTGCTTTTTAAGATGCTCCATCTTGAATTTTGTTGTTAGAAAAATGCAAGGCTGACATATCTTATGTTGATTTGTGGCATATAGATAACTCCTGGTGTTGCTTCTGTCCAAGTACTTTTAATATATAATTTATGATCTAAGTCTTCTGTTGTAGAGAAATAATTTGACACAGGAAAAGATAATCTTATAGAAGAAAGGCTTTTAATGGGCGTGAACATAGCTAGCTCATTCAAACCATGTCATTAAGCACCATTTCAAAGATACGTTATACCTGGTACAGGATTTTATTTTGTATCTGTTTTGATATGAAAAGATTTACACACAGTGGCTAATCCCAAAATATCTTCAGGAAAGATATTTAGCCACCTGATTTTCCCCTTTGAAGTTTGTATAGTCCTTTCCTTTTAGAAAATAAATGTTTCACAAACGTATTTTATCCTTTGTCATTGGCAAATGAATTGAAAGTAGATTAATTTATTCATTGTGGGTTAGAATTAGTGGGACTCATATATAGTACCTATTCTTAATCCTTCCTATCTGTCCTGACGCTCCATTATTCACCCAGGTAAAATTTATTTGTTTTGAGAGAGTCATTATTAAAGCAAATAACTTAACAGATAGTTTATGGCCAAGGAAAATTACCATTGCCAAAGAAAGAGCAATCTGAAAAGTATATTCATCAATTTAACTTCAGAATAGCATAAACATTTTATAAAAGGTATTGGTTACTTCGATATGTTTAGTTGTGACTTTTTCTGAGTTAAAAATGAATATAGTAAAATAAGTGAGAGAAAAAAATACAGGTTTCCTCAGTTAGAAAGAATAGCTATTCATCCATCCTGAAAACCGCAGTAGGACCCTAATAGAATACATGGCCATAAGGTGTTCTGTTGTTACTGACTATACACTGCTTAGCAAATCACAGAGGAGGTGCCATGATTGCAGTAGCAGGCTTGGCAACCCATCAGATGAGTCTATAAAATCTACCAGAAGACATGTTGGTAACCCTGTTACAGAGTAACTGTTCTATCTGCTAATTTAAATCTGAGAGACTGATGTGAGTCTTTTTGTTCCTTAAGTGCATTAGACCTTGGTTGATGCAACAGGGGACATGCCCAACCTGTAGGCTCCATGTTTTGTTACCAGAAGAATTTCCTGGCCACTCCAGCCGGCACTTGCCCAAGATATGATGTAGATAGAAACTTCCTTCACAAAGGAAGTCCTGTTTTCAAGTCTCCAGAATTTAGTTTTGCCTTTTACTGTGAGCTGATAGTGCAAGTGGTGTGAAGCTGTGTGCTCTTCAGTATTATACAAAAGAAGCTAATTAATCTCATCCAAGCTGCAGCCAAAGAGGACAGATAAGATAAATCTTCAGGATTTATGACTGAACTGAGAGGCCTTAAAGAAGACGGAATTTTGAAAGTTACATTATATTTGTACTTAGTGGGTATTTTCTTCCAACATAAACATGGTAACTGTTGGCATGTGTCTTAGGATGTCTTCTTTTCCTTCTTACTCTGTTCACCCTTTACTTCCCCTCACATACACAATTTAATTTCATTAAATAAATTTAAGCAAAAGTGAAATAGTAAATAAGTTGGAAAATTCCACAGATTTCAACATTCCTTTAATTTTAACACTTGTTACAAAAAAAGTTATTGAATTATTTCCATTTTATCTCAATTCTGTCCTCTAAAACATGTAACAAGTTATGAAGAGATTTGGAGCTACTTCAGAGTGGGAATCATACAGTGTTTTATGTTAGAGCTGACTTACAAAGGCTTTTAAGAGAGGATTGTTAATTTCAGGAATTTTGTGAGCCAGTTATAAAACTGTTGGTAGATCGAAATCTGCCATAGTGGGATTACTTATACATAGAAATTGGTAAATGCGCTAAGGGACCACTTCCCCTTAGGAAGTACTTATTAAACATTTACCAGCACACACTGGGACCATGTCTAATGCTTCCTCATGTACCCAGTGTCTTGAACAGTAGGTACAGCACAGACATTCCCAGAATCAGAAATCAGGAAGCAGTAAGAAAAGGAATTCATGTGCAAATTAAGTCACATGCTCAGCTGAATAGTTGAGATCTTATGTTGAGTTATAAACATGCTCTTTGGACCTCAATAATTTATACATTGGAGCGATTTTTTTTTTTCCTGCCTTAAAATTTTCTAATTTCACTTTCTCATGCCGGGGGTAAGGGAACTGTATGTGTGTGGTTGCTTGTTGACAAAGTTGATACCACTGGGCTAAGCTGCGTATCTCAAGTTTATTACTGAGAACTTTCATTCTTAAAAGTAAAAAGCCTATTTTGAAAATAGTATTGTATAAATTCTGTAAGTGTTGTACATGTCTCTAGTTGCAAAATTAATTGGGTTACCTTTTAAGACAAATGTTACTTGGTTCCTATTCTTTTCCATAAATTAATGAAATTGAGACTGTGAATAAGTGTTTCCTCACTCAGCAGTTACATTATCTGTATATTTCAGTGTAAATGTATCTTGAAGTTACTTTAAATCTCTATTAAATCTGCCATTTCTGTATGCTAAAAATTTTTTTTTTGTAATGAGAATAGACTGGAAAATATGTATTAAAAAATTAAGGCTTTCATCTAGACATGTAAAATGCCAAAAATGCCTTAGAATTGCAAAAGTTCTAAGGGCCTTTAATAATTATCTTCTCTAACTTCTCAAGGTCATGGTGATATAGCAAATTATTTCATGAGATATTTCTTAGTTTTTGTTTACAGTTGCAATTTCATTTTCATGTGGGAAATAATAAATGTTTCTTAATTGAACACCTATTTTATCTGTGTGTTTTGGTTTAAGTATATCCTAATACTTCAAACTTCTATTTCAGATACTTACTTTTGTTTGATTGTAGCTAAATTGTTTGTTATAAAAAAGGAAAGGAAAATATCTAAAAAGGCAGTCACCTAGACTTGCAAATTGCTAAATTTGCTAAATACAACATTGCTAAATATAACATTCAGTCATAAGCCTCCTCCACAGACTGATGCTGCAAGATCTGCCATTTGTGGCTCCAAGGATGGTGCCAGACGACTTATAGCTGATATATATTGAGACTATTGAGAATAATCTAGTAGGACTGATCTCCTACAAGTCAGGTTCTGTTCTGTTGATGTTGAACGTAATGCAGTTGTGGGTTTTTTATGTATAATTTAACAATAAAGATAATTATAGGGATCATTCTACCATGAACAATGATCACTGCCCTGCCTGTGACTGCACTGGGGTCCAGAACACCATCCTGCTCAGAAATCCAACAAGGGATGTGGCAGTATTTACAGCAAAAACAATTAAATACCAGTAACATCAACTGCATCTACTCTGAGAGCCTATATCTTGTAATGTTTTCATTCAAATTTATTGAATGTTCTGCATTTATAAAATACTCCTGGAATACTTCATCCCATAGCCTCTTTTTTTTTTTTTTTAATAGAGGCATGCTTTATTTATTTGTTTGCTGGTTTGTTTGTTTGTTTTGTTTATACATGCACTGGGTACAGTCAGAAGCGCGGGAGGGTGAGAGAATTCACCAGAGCCAGAGCGGGAGCAGAGCAGGCAGAAGGACCGAAGTACACTGCTGAGGGGAGCAGCGGGCGGCAGGAGAGGTCTGTGCACCATGTGGGATCCTCCTCTGGTGGCCGGGGAGCAGCTGGGGATGGAACCGGCGCCGCAGAGGCCGCGGGCAGCTTCGCAACCCAGCGCTCAACCGCTGCGCCACCGGGGAGGCCCATCCCATAGCCTCTTGAGTAAGAATTCTAGGACTATAGTAGCTGAGTACTATGTGGTTATAGTCAGATAAAAGCAAATTGATACTAACTTACTGTAAAGATACATGGTTTCTGATCTTCTTGAATGGGCAGTTTTTAGAACTAATGGGTTTATTTCTTAAGTATAGATTGTAGGCCATATCACATTTATATATTCCAAGAGACCCTCTGGGAATATGCATTTTTTTAAAGATTTATTTATTTATGCATACAAGTACTGGGATACAGGCCAGATGTGCAGGGGATTGAGAGGATTCACCAGAGACAGAGTGGGGAACAGAACAGGCAGACTGACTGAAATACACTGCTGAGGGGAGCAGCGGGCGAGTCAGGAGAGGTCTGCTGCGCCATGTGGGTAGCTCCCTGGCCAGGGATCGAACTCGTGCTGCAGTGGCTGTGGACAGCTTCGTAGGTTGCATCTTAACTCCTTGTGCCACCAGGGAGGCCCCAGAATATGTATTTTGAATGAGCACTCCTGGTGTTCGGAAGCAAACTTAAGTTTGAAAACTACTGGTGTAGAAAGTGACTTTCTCAGGCAGGTCTAGGTTTGAATTTTTAAATTCCATTTCTGGGATGTTATACGATCAAGAATAAATTACTTAAACTTTTCTCAAATTCTCATGTGAAAAAGGGGGGAGGGACTACTTGCCTGATAATTATTGACACTAAATGTGCATTCATTAGTCTTCATTCTCAAAGTAGCAAACCTTCTATTAGCTCTTCAGCCTGTTTGAATTTATTCTCAAAGTGTTTCTCTCTAACTACCCTTATTAAATGAAGTGATCAGAGACTATAACCATTATTCTTTACACTTTCTCATACTCCCAGAATGATGAACGGTTAATTTATTACATAAAATCATCACACCCCTGTAACATTTGCTAGATCCCTTTGAACTACATAATGTAATAATTCTTAATTCTGCCTAGTAAAGTTGAATAACAATGATCTAGGCAACTAAAAGTTGTACAGATATATAGGAAAGATGCTATCTCCACTTGGGAGACAAGAATCCTGAGGAAATGATTTATCCAAAGTCACACAACTATTGAGTAGAAGGGCCCTGATTCTAATCTACATTCCTGCATCAAAACCAGTATTGGTCCCTCTATGATAACAAATGAAAAAAAGCAAATGAAACTACTTGACTGCTTCTTTGGGTAAATACACAACTGAAACAAGATTAGTCTTATAGGAGGCATTCTAGCTCAGAATAAAGTAAAAATTATACTCTTCTTACTTCCAGGTTGATGGTATTTGATCAATACTTTAAAATGGCAAAGTACAGATGTTACACATTTTTCAATTTCAAACATCATATTGACATTCACTTAGAGCTTATCTCCAGAGTTGCATCATTTTCTTAAACCATGAAATGTTACAACCACTATTAGGATTCCAATGTCACAATAGCATACTTCTGCAATGTGAATAATTTTTGTCAGTGCACGATCTCAGACCAGAGAAAATAGCAAGCTTCTAGGAAAAGTTTTTGTATGGGCCTTTGACTTTTCTCTTGAAACATTACTATATGGCCAAAGGAAAGACTGATTGTAAGCGGCAGTAATGAATTTGGCATTTAGCCCAAGAAAGACTATTTTAATTGTAAAGGTCTATGACAAAAGCCATTCCTCAGCAGTTAAAGGTGAAACATTTTAATTACAACTTCAATTAAGAAAAGTGGTTTGTTTTAATGAATTATGAACACTTTTACATTATCAGAACATTACAAAATAAACAGGAGTTTGAAACCAGCATATATTCATTGGATGTATTTTTTAAGTAGCTAACTCTCTTACTACCTTTGCCCTTTCTACCCATAGTCAAGAATTGATATGCTCCTTGAAACATGACAACAGTGTAGATAATATATCAAAATTAGGGTCATTATTTATTGAATGCTTGTTACATGAGAATAATTTTTGATTTGGGGTACATCAAGAATAATAGGACAAGATATTGTAGGCCTGAAGGAGCTGTGTCGTAAGTCGAGTTCAAGCATCTCAACTTCCTTGAAGATAACTAGTATTATAGTGAAATATGTCTTCAATGCTAAATAGATCACACAGATAAGTTATATAAGAGTTTGGTTGCTGCAGGCTGGGGCAATGAGATCTTCTCAGTGAAAATGGAAGGATGAAGCTAGATCTTAGTTGATTCTCAATCATATTAAGATGCTACTTAACATCCTTCCCACTTGGAACACATTTCCTTAGATTGCATTGCTGCAGGAGGCCTTGATGCCCCAGCCAGATAAGACAACTGGCAAGCAGCGAAGGTAAAGGGCCTCACACCATGGGGCTGAAGATTCCTTGTGCCTCACACCGTGGGGCTGAAGATCTAACATTCCTTCACTTTTTGTTCTTGGTCAAAAGGAGAAAAGGAGAAAGGAGAAAAGGAGAAAAATTTCCCAAAAAGTACATGTATCAGCAGACTGCAAACAATTGGCACGGAAAATTACCTGTTTAGAAATTAGTTACTACACAATTTGGCCCAATTAACAATGGGAGACAATTTATTGTACATATCTGACAAGCAATCCAGCATAACAATTATAGTATATCCTTGTTTTGTTTTTTAGAAGTTCCTTTTTATTTAGAAGTTTCTTAGGAAAGTTTTTAAATGAAGTTGACTGTATTAAGAAGTTTGTAGGTAGAAAAAGTTCTGATAGCTGAGCAGCAGCTGGTCTCCGGCTGAAGGCCATGTGAATAAAATAGTCTTTTGATGCTGAGGTTTTAGCTGCCAGGGATGCACTGGCGGCTATCCACTGTCTTAGATAATTGTCTAGCTGAAATAATAAGTTTTAGTGTTAGGTTTGGTTTTTTATCTATTAACCGTGAAGGCTACTGTCTAGCTGGGACCTGTAGGAGCCAGTAGTCCATGGGAATAAAATACACTAATTGTTTCTGCTTTACACATGACAATGTATTTTTTTTCTGCTTACTAAAGATGAATAAATAAAGACCTGCTGAGTCTCTCGGCAGAAGATACTAGCACCTCACCAAGTGTCAGTGTCTCCTCATTCTACCTTACCCCCTTCCCCTCAGCCCTCTCATCCTTTCAGGAACCCCTGACACGACATGTTGCCAGAGGCTGGTCCCCGGCATTCCATGTTTAACTCAGTTCTCTGTGTAAATGTGACCTTAAAGTATTTTCCTTGACTGGAATATTGACGATTTTATGCGCAGAAACCTTGTGGAAGCCACCTGATCCATGTGATCGATGTCTCTATTACTAGTAAGGTGATAACACCGCTTGCCACTTGTGGTGCACTAAGGGCACAGCATAGTTATTTAGTATTTCTCACAAACATGCAAAAACAAGTTGTGACAAATCATTAAAAAGCCCACTATGCATTTAAAAAAAAGTATTCTACTTGACTACCAAAATGAAAATACACCTGAATTTATTATCTGAAATTTTTGTTTACTCTTTAATTTTATTATAAGATTCATAGAAGCAGGAATTTTTTTCATATATAATTATCCACACATAATTAATGAATAATAGAGGGCAGAATCTAGGCAAGACTAAGACCAATAGGAAGTGGTTTGATGAAGCAGGTAATGAGAGTTCAAATGCAGAAGATATCAGAATTCAAGGGAGAAAAGAATTTCATGTAAGGGTCACAACTGAGAGCAGGAATTTTGGCTGACTTGTTTATCATTTACCACCCATTACCTAAGAGATCTGGTACAAAGTAGGTACTCAATAAATGTGTGTTGAGTATATGAGCCTTGTGAACCCAAGCATAATTTACATAAGAGGACAGATTACCCATTTTTAACAAGGACAGTGGTTCAACAGTAAGTAACCCTTAGAAAGTTCTTTTCAGTCATAGCCCACAGATGACTTTCTGCTCTCTAAATGAAAACTTAAGCATTAGTGCAATTTTTATATCACTTATGGACAGTGCATTTAATTGGACTTACCACTATTATAATAATCCCTACTCAGCTGGTAACCCCTGAGCCTTTTCCCGGGCCTGCCAATTTTCCCTCAGCACATTTAATAAAACTTGTTTGGGTTCCTAAAAATAAAGACTGTGCAAAGCATAAGTCAAAAGTGTTAAGGCTTCAAAGCAATTGACTTTTCAGGATTTCAATATATGAAATAGACTAAAAATTATGACAAGGATGAAAATGAAACCAAGGTATAATTTATTAAGTTTGATGAAACCTATTTTCCAAAACCATGTTTGGACATTTACTCAGGTTTCTCTCCAACTACTTCTTGATAAGTAGATATCTGCCAGTTGTCTTCTCCCCTCCCAGGCCTACATATAAAATGCCACAAAACTGCCAAAAAACACTGAAGGAAATACAAAGCTGAGTATTTTTCATTCATTGTCAGCATCAGTGCTTCCCAGTCTATACCATAACATCAACCCTGTTTGAATAAGCACAAGTCTGCATTTCTGCCTTGCAGATAGGAAGCAGGCTGACTGTCTTACTTAGTTCCCTGAATGGTCAAAGTTCATTGAAGGCAGACATTAGGGCAATAAGGTGCAGCCACTGCAGATGAGGCTGCATACCAACTTATTACAGCTTTCACAAACTTTTACTGAAAACTATTTTGCAAAACTTTACTTCTCAAATTGTGTCAGGTTGTTTGTT